CAGCCTCATCCAATGAGGCTGATGGTCTAAATCCTTCCACACCTCAGGATGAGGTTGAGTCAATACATAGCTCAAACGAGCTGTCTTTATCCACAAGAATGCTGGAAATGAGACTTTTCCATCTCTACCTGACGGAGACGTATATCACCCTGTACCCCGGGAAGCTCGATACCAATCATTTCCAGTCCGCTGTCCCAGGACTAGCGACCTCTTATCCATTCTGCCTGGATGCTCTACTGGCATTTTCTGCCCTACATCTGGCCTCGAAAGAGACGGGCGATAACCGTCAATGGGTAGAGTGCGCTCTGAAGTATCAGAACCGCTCCTGTTCTGCGATGAGCCGTGTGTTGGCTGAATTCTCTGTTGAGTATTCTGGACCAGCTTTCATTTGCTCCATCCTCATCATGTTATGCTCATACGCCTACCCCTGCGTTTCCCAAGACGACCAGCCATTTGATCCTCTGGCACAAGTCCTGGCAATCCGTCGACTGCTTGCTGGTTGTGCTTTCTTTTTTCACCAGCTCGGTAAGATGGAGCATCCAGGCGAACTAGCGGGGTGGTTACGATACAAAGATAGCGAGGACTTAGAAGAAGAACTCCCGAAAGAGTAAGTGCCTTCCGCTCTACTACTGGACCTTGTACAACTAAGGATTAACGCTGGTTCAGACAACAAGACCCGAAACTCATCCAGTTACGAAGGTATTTGGTTTTCCTGACATGTTGGTATAAATGGATAGGAAAGAGCCATTACTAACATCACTCGAGTGCCCTATTGGATTCCCTAGGTCGTATACGAGGAATGATTGACGATGTTGATGAATCTCGCCGAGAAGTAAATCAGGACATCTGGGAGTTTCTGAATGAAGCAGTTAAGCGACCATTGGGCGGACGCGAAGGCGGAGTTATTGCATTGCCGATTAGAATCAGCGATGCTTATGTGGATCTCCTCAAAGAGGGCGATTGGACGGCTCGTATTTTATTTCTCCATTTCGGTGTTGGCATGCATCTCCTCTCTGACAGGTGGTTTGTGAGAGACTGGGGACGTCGGCTCGTATCGACAGTGTTGCAGCCACTTGAGGAAATCCCGATTCAATGGAAAGAGACTGTTGCATGGACAAGGCAAGCGGTGGACCTTGACCAGTGGTCACGACCTTGAACCAGAAGGAGGGCAAATAAGAAAAAAACCCGCAAGCATTCAAGACAACCAAAGAAAGATGGGGAAATTAACTCTTGATACATAATAGGATCTGCGATGGAACCGTCAAATGCGGAGATGTGGCTGACAGCTATTACGTAACAGCCTGAATTCCTTGCGGGTTGACACCCAAACCCCATGATAACTATACGGAGGATCGAACAATGGGCGATGATAGCAACCCGTTGGGTGGGCCATGGATATCCCTACCTGATCCGGCAGGTCGTCAGATGACTTCAACTCGGGCTTTGCGCTTATCTGGTTCATGTGTACCGAGCATATGCGGAGATACGGCAGCATTGTTATCTCTAGATTAGAGCCCTCCCTTGCTGGGCGCAGTCAATTACATAGAGCCTCTCTATCTCTTGCTTCATCATATTATTTACTCTCTGTACCATATGTTGAAGTCCTTATAAAGTCCTTTTTCTTGGCTTACATTCTGACATGTTCTGTTTTTGTCTTATCTATTCAACGATCTCACAAATGCAGATCCCTCACCCGCACCCAATAAGCCGGAATGAGTTTATCCAAACCGAGTGAATTGGTTGGACCAGGGGTCCGAGGCATATTGGGCCGAGATGTGGAGAAGCAGGTAGATATAAGCTTGCTCGTTCTTTTCCCCTGACATTGCGCCATCTCTGGGCGTTATTTGTCTTCTTTCGGTAGTAATACCTGGTTGGTGACCTTGGCAGCCACTTTTAACCGCTTGCGACCTTCCGGGCGCCGAACTAACCACTGGCTGGCCGAGTGACGATAGGGAAAGAGCCTCGATCATGTTTCGCCTATTAAAGACTACATTATCCCTCAGCTTCATACTAGTGCTGGCATTGATACATCTACCGGATGTGCTCTCTTCACCACTGGAATCATCAGCTCGCTATGATTCGCGAAGCGCCAATGCAGTTAAACACATCGAGGAGGGCAAGCTCGGAGCAGTGGCAAGCGAGAGTGCTATCTGCAGTCGTCATGGAACGGAGATGTTGAAAATAGGCGGAAATGCCGCTGATGCTGTACGTAACGGTGACTTAGGCTCCCCGTTATATTGCCTTGACTGAGTTACAAATACAGCTGGTTGCAACGATATTCTGCGTAGGAGTTGTTGGTGAGATACATCAAAGTAGTGGAGAAGACATGTGAACTGACAAAAAGATCCCAGGAATGTACCATAGTGGAATCGCTGGAGGAGGGTTCACGTTGGTGAGGGCTCCTAACGGTTCGTACGAATTCATCGATTTCCGCGAAACCGCGCCTGCAGCTGCGTTCGAGGAGATGTTCAAGAACAACACCGGCGGATCCACCACTGGAGGCTTAGCAAGGTAACGGGCATTTTTTAATCAAGACGAGAAGCAAACCACTAATGTGCAGCTAGTGGCGTTCCTGGTGAGGTGCGAGGCCTGGAGTACCTTCATAAGAAATATGGTTCTCTTCCATGGTCGACCGTCATGCAACCTGCCATCCAGACGGCCCGTCAAGGTTTCCCAGTTGGTCGTGATCTCGTTCGTTATATGAACTCAGCCGTCGGGGGTGGAGAAGACTTCCTATCTAAGAATCCAACATGGGCTATTGACTTTGCTCCTAATGGAACCCGTCTCGGTCTTGGGGATACGATCACCCGTAAACGCTACGCAGACACGCTGGAGACGATTGCCAACAACGGCCCGGATGCGTTCTATACCGGCCCAATTGCGGAAACCATGATACAGGCACTGCAGGCTGCCAACGGCACAATGACGTTGGAAGACCTGCGTAACTACACCATTGCTATCCGAGACATCTCACAGATTGACTACCGAGGGTATAAAGTTACTGGAACAACCGCCCCCTCCAGCGGCACTGTCGCCTTGAACATTCTTAAGGTTTTGGATACTTACGACAGCTTCATGGTACCCGACAACGTGAATCTTAGCACGCATCGTCTGGATGAAGCTATGCGTTTCGGATATGGACTGGTACGTGGACGCATCTCTTTGTGTTGACCCCGGCATCTAGCTAACTTGACATCAAGAGAGCCGAACTGGGAGATCCGTCCTTTCTTGAAGGTTTAGATGAATATCAGAAAGGTATGCTGGCACAGTCGACGATTGATGAGATCCGTGGGAAAATCTCCGACCTGCACACACAGAATGTGTCTGCCTATGATCCTAAAGGCCTTGAGAGTCTTGATACGTAAGCACATGCTCGCTAAGCCCCATTATCCGGTCGTACTAACTGATCCAGCCCTGGAACGTCTCATATCGCTGCTGTTGATCATACTGGACTTACGATTTCCACTATCACAACCATCAACTTGCTTTTTGGCAGCAAGCTCATGGTGCCAGAGACGGGAATCATTATGAACAATGAAATGGATGGTTAGTGATTACCTAGACAGCCTCTTCTGCAGATCTGAACCTACCTGCTGATACTATCCAAGACTTCTCAACGCCCGGCTCGTCCAACGCTTTTGGATACGTCCCTTCGGAAGCGAACTTCATCCGACCCGGAAAGCGACCTCTGTCATCTATTACACCAACCATTGTGACACATAAGAATGGATCGGTCTTCTTTGTTGCGGGCTCGGCTGGTGGTAGTCGAATCATTACAGCGACTGTACAGAATATCATCCACGCTGTCGATGAGGGCTTGTCGGCAGCCGAGGCTTTGGCTAGGCCGCGCCTTCATGATCAATTAATCCCGAATCAGGTCAAATTCGAATATTCCTACAATAATGAGACAGTGGCTTTCATGAAATCTCTAGGCCACAATGTGACATGGGTTGCTCCAGGAGACAGCACTGCGCAGGCAATCCGGGTATTGCCGAACGGAACATTCGATGCCGCTGGTGAGCCTAGGCAACTTGACTCTGGCGGTTTCGCTGTCTGAGGACTATTCTCCAGTTGCATCTATACGGCATACGGGATAGCTGCTATCACGGATACAATGATAGACTGAACATACTTTCGGACATATTTTGAACATCTACTTTTGTGGATATGGGAACCTGAGGAGATATCTGAAGATATAGATAGAAGATTCCTCAATTGCGAATACATATATAAAGATCTATTCTCCAGACTTTCTTTAGACTACTCCCACTCTCCGTCAGTCGTAGGCTTGTCACTTTCTCGCTAACATACCTTGATATACAATCTACTGCGGACGGCTGAAGTAAAGCGAAAACAAGAGATACTGCAGCTATAACTAGTGTAGGGAACAAAGTCGATTTATAATAGAACTCAAAGGTACACAACAATTTGACAACGATACAACTTGACAACGATTGAACAAATAGTAAATAGATCCAGATGCTGATTAAACAATTACTTGATTGAGAAACATGAACAACATAAGCTTAAATACCCCTGTTGCCACTTAACGTGTATGATTAATATCGAGTTGGTCCGTGCACATGCACCAGGATCTCCGCGTCTCGCGTTTCCTATCAGCTCCGTTCACTCAAATCTCCCGTATTAAGGAAGTAACGACTGAAATTATTGGCTTACACGCACTTAATTACTGCCGTACCAAATATTATACTTCACTGATCTTATAAAGCCAACTGTTTGTTCCCCGCCAATTCAGCCTACATTTCTCGGCACCGGGATCATGGTGGCTTGAGCGCGCATAACAGCGAGGATTGACAACTTTCGATTATGACAGCCGTACACACAATCCCCCCTCCAACAGTGAATATACCCTCGGGACTATTCACCGAAAACGAACCCCACTGACAACACAACGGTTGTGTTAGTTGTCTGACCACTGCCGCCCCTTCTATCCTGAACATGCCCGACCCTAGTACATCGTCCTACCACCAGTCGACCGGATGAATAACATACTCAAGCGAATTGTTTCCCTGTTCTCTGTCAAAGAACCCCAAAGGGACGTTCCTCCAGCGGAGCGCGACGAAACCCCCGATCAGTCTCCGACTATGGATCATCCCAAGCCTGTCGCCGTTGTCGTCTCTCCTCCCGTCTTCGACCTCGATTCCTATGAATCCTTCGATGAGGATTACTTTCGACGCACGGTTGATGAGATTCTCTCCGATCAAGCTAGTTTTGAGAATAGCTTTGATGAATATCACGGCGCTAAGATGATGGATGGGACCTGTGATCGGGGGACTAGTATGATGGGGTGTTCTGCTCCTGGGAGCTCGGGGTCTAAGGCGTCGCCTTATTTTCCGAGTAAGGTGGCTAGGAAGAGGCCTGTGGCGCACAGGGTTATTCGGAAGGTTGAGAGCACAGATGAAGATGACTCGGAGGAGGATGAGGAGACCCTGATTTTGGAACAGGCTGAGGGGGTTCATGATGGCAAGGGTGGGGGCAAAGTGGTCGAACGGGAGGGTCCTGCTGATTCTGTCGCTAAGATTAAACTTGAGGAACTTGAAAAACGTGGACTCGGGGGTGATGGTGTTCGTCTTCCGAAGGACGAGGTCGGGCCTGCTGCTCGGGCTCCTTCTGTGATTGATGTCGATGCCTGCGATGATGAGGATCTTGAGGAACTCTCAGAGGAGAGGTTCGTTTTCGCGTCTGTTTCGGAGGAGGAACATAACCGTCTTGTTAAATTCCTTCTTGATCATCCTTTCATGCGCGAAGGTGCGTATCCAGTGAAACGGTCTGCGCGGCGCAGCTTCGTAAGTGATGTGCGACGAGAGGCGTCTATCTCTGGCATGGATGAAGGTGCCCTCGGTGTACTCATAAAGTGGATCAAGAAGACATATCTCGAAGTTTGCATGGTTGCCGACGCTGACAAGGAAGTATCGGCGTTCGGGGATGAGATTGATGATGAGAAGATGGTTGAACATCGATCACCAAGAGAGTTGAAGAAAGAACGAAAGAGAAAGAGGACTAGTATTGATCAGGCAAGAGGAAAGACCAAGACAAAGAAGACGAACAGATCTGACATTTCCATGGTCCCTAGCAAACACGACATACGAGAGGTCATAAATGTTGATAGCGACGATTCTGCGATTGCGATATCGAAGTCCCTCTCCGCGAACATCCATGTCAAAGAAAAGGACCCAGCTCCCCAGACTGATCTCCAACACACACCTACCTCCCATCGAGTGAATCATGGGAATGTACAAGCTGGAAGACCGGTACTTGAACATGTTACTCCCATAACACCAACTACCCCTTCAATACAGAAGCGCAATAAACAGAGCATCTCTCGCAAGAAGTCATCGCCGCCAATGCCTCGACATTATAATTCCACCCCTAATCATGATGTCAAAAGCAATGAGGGAAATCTACGAGTATCCCAAGAGCGCATTTCGCGGAACGACTCGTCTAAAAAGCGTAGCGTCTCTGATGATGCAGATCCGCCGAGCTCATATTCGAAAAATCCGAAATCGCCAAGTAACTTAAAGAATATCGCTGGAAGCCGCGAAAAGAAGCACGAAAAGAACGACAAAAAGCGACATCTCCGGAAAGAAATTATAAGGTCTGAGACGATGCCTGAGATTAGCCCTCTTTCCCGGAAAGGTGACCAACGTGCCACTGCCACTCGTATGGGAGGTACCATACCACAGGAGCTCCCAGCGGAGAGCACTTCTTTTCCACACAAGGCAGTGTCTATGGATGACCCATTTTGGGTTATGGATTTTTAAAGCCCAATGATTCGCAAGGATTGACCGCCTGCGCTGAGGTAAGGTCGAAGTATTTTAGGAACCCCTCAAGGCAGACAAAGTTGCCAAAACATTCGATACCTGAAGAAACGCTGCTTATTTTCAAGGAGCTTGGACTGCCACCCGACATCCTTTCGCCTGACTCTGATTTGAGTGATGTACCTGATGATACCACTTCTATTAACGATAATGCCTCCTTGTCACATCCCACATTACGTATATCACCCCAAAGAGATCATCTTGCGGAGAGGTCCATGGAGTCTCCCAGGACTCCGGTCAAGGGCGCGTCTCCGGTTAGATCTTGCGTCGATCTTCCAAAACCAGCACTTGGCAGACCCGCCAAAGTGTCGCCCTACTTCCCCCAGCCGCTTGTGGATCCTGAATCATGCATACCATTCCCTCCTATCGATGCTGACTCATTCGGTCTGGTTCAAGAGCAGCTTGCACACGATCCGTTCCGCCTGCTTATCGCGACTATATTTCTAAACAGAACTCGAGGAGGGGTTGCTCTTCCCGTCTTGTTCAAGGTTTTTGAGCGATATCCTACTGTCGAGGCAATGGCTACAGCGAACGTATGTGACCTTGTGGATATGATACACTGTCTTGGGTTCCAGAATCAGCGGACGAGGAAGTGTATTAGTCTCGCGCAGAGGTGGATGTCTCACCCACCGAAAAAAGATGAAAGATATCGCAAACTCCACTACCCCTGCAAATTAGACGGACGGGATGTCCGACCACAAGAGTGTATTGATGATGCAGACCCGCGTGTGGCCTGGGAGGTCGCACATCTACCCGGGGTGGGGGCTTATTCTCTGGACAGCTGGCGAATCTTCTGCCGAGATGAGTTGCGAGGCCTAGCCAAGGATTGGAAAGGGTCTGGTGCAGCTACGGCCGACTTTGTTCCAGAGTGGAAAACAGTTCTGCCACATGATAAAGAGCTGCGGGCATATCTGACTTGGATGTGGCTTAAGGAGGGTTGGGTATGGGATCGTCAGACGGGACATAAAACTCGAGCCAGTGAGAAGATGATGCGAGCTGCACGCCGCGGCGGAGTGGCTCTTGAAGAGAATGGAAATTGGATCCTGGAGACCTCGCCAGTGAAGAAAGCTGCAAATGGTCTGACTACGTGGGATTAGGCATTGGCGGATTGCATATGTATGGAGTTGGTTCACGAGTTAGACATTTCTGTGATCGTTGTTTCAGGAAAGACCTTATTCGGATATGAAATATGATACCCTTAATTGCCTATGTGGATAGATAGTCCAAGAAGTGTAGTTACTCCGCACAGCTGTTGTCTCGTCGCAGCCTAAGGCAAGCGACCCCTGCCTTAGGCACTTAAGATAATCATCTTCAGAAACATCGACAAGGCAACTTTCTCGACATGAGACTGGATACTTACTCCCTTTTCTCCATCGCAACGGTCCTTCTGGAGCTTGATGTGCTCATCAGACTAAGACTGATTTGCCTTCTCCCAGTTAGTTCCCGTCAATTGATCGGCTCGACTTTGGGCTTCCATGCAGCAGGCCCACCACGTCAGACTCACTAAAGACGAGCCAGCCCTGCGGGGAAGTCCAACCTCGTCCTCTTCACCGCAAAAGTACGGCTGGAGTTTCCCAGTTCTTTCTCTTTATGCACCGTTCCTGAATGTCTTCTCGATCTTTCTCGATCCTTTTGTGCGACCTGGCCTTGTCTATCAATTCTTCACTTGTCGATTCATATTTCTTTTTTTAGATCGTCTTCGCGCGACGGGATGTCGCATGCCCCTCGACTGGTTTTTTCCCTGGAGTGACTCAAACGCCGTGTGATTGGCATTCGACCAGTGAGACGTGCATTCCTGGACGCACTCTTAAGCGCCAGACGAGACAACCGTCTACTAGAGTGTTACTGCCTACATAAAACACAGCCTATTGATCGGCTTCGGATCAATCAATCACCTGAGCGATCGCCAACCCTCCGCTGTGACACACTTCCGAAAGGCCTTCAGAGAGTTAACTTCTCAGCCTCTTATTCCTTCTATTTTGATTTAATCTACGAGGTAACTAGACGATTAGTGGGGAAGAAAGACTGCAAGGGGGGGAAAAGTGGTTCAATCTTCAGGAAGAAAATCACAACGACACTACTTGCCTTTCCACCAATTCCCTCTTCCCCCTCCACCTCACCTGAGCCCATTCATCCCACATCATGTTTCTACCCATAAGGCTAAATGACCGAGATCGCGACAGGGACCGAGAGCGAAAAGTGTCGTCGTCCTCCACCATCTCTTCCAAAACAAAATCCAAACCTCGCTCGTCCCACGGTCGGTCTAACCGCTCCTCAACCAAGGAACACGATCAAGACGCCCCGACGGCCCGCTCCTCGACCCCTACGACTGCCAGCTCCCGCAAACAGCGTCGGTCCTCCATGCCGGGCGTCGACAGTGCCAGCCGTCCTGTCACGGCTTCCTTCCTCGAGTCGAGGACCAGCTTGCCATATCCTACTTTCTCCAAAGCCCATAGTCGAGAATCAGTGACCCAGCCGGACATTCCTACCCCAGACCCGACCGACCTTACCGAAGAAAATAAAGAAGGGGGGAAGCGACATAGTCAACACCGCACTGATAATCATCATGCACCGCCTAGCCCACCGCTGACCAGTGTCGATCAGAATTCACGCAAAGGAAGCACGGTCGGAGACAAGGAAGATAAAGAGAAACCAAAGGAAGGGAAGGCCAAGATTCGGATCAGAGCTGAGTCGACCAGGTCGTCATCGAGTCTGCGCTCGAAAAGGGACGACGAATCTAGAACAAGCAAGACGTTGCGTGCAGACACTCCATCCTCCAAAACGAAACGGTCTAGTCACGACAAGGATGTTCCCGCCCGGACAGCGAGTCGCAACTCTACGAAATCAAGAATTGTCGAAGAAGCCGTACTGCCCAAACGATCCTCTTCCAGTCGTGCTGCTCCGATAGTGTCTCCCCCTCGATCCCCCGCGACCGTTCGCGATGTCGGTTCGGAATCGGCAAACGGGTCAGATGCGACTATTGCTGCACAACAGCAGTCGTCATCTCGCAAGCCGAAGAGTCCTGAGAAACCACCTTCTCGGACCCAGACACGATCGTCCATGTCCCACCGGCCCAGTAGTCGCACGTCGGCCGATTTCGCGTTTGACTATGGTCGACCTCCCACATCGAACTCGGGCTACGGCACCCCTCCTCCGCCACCTCCTCCGCCCGAGATGCCTGTTACCATCCCTCGAGTTGATTATCTGCTGCAGAACGGTGGTCTTGACCATCGAGTGCCAAAGGCCCTTCTGCTCGCCACTGGTACTCCCGAGCAACCGCCCTACCAACCATTTCAGCCTCAGCTTGCAGCGTCGAAGATCTTTGACCCATTCAGTCGTATACTGGAGGATTATCATAAAGTGATGGCTAAGAATGGTTCGCTGGCAGTTGCGACGGGATATCGATCGGTCGCACGTCGGCTGCTTGACCGACTTGAGGCTGTCTTTGCCCGTGACATCTCGTCAGAATCATGTACTTGCTTGATGTGTGTTCATGAGCAGCTCGAGCCCGAGGAGCATCCGTCAGGGGTCAGCTGGGGTGAGGTGTTGGAGTTGGTGTCTGGTCGCCAAGAGCTACCCAACTGGCCGCCCTTCATGATGTCGCCGTCAGTCAACGATGCGGACCTGTCGGGTGATGAACACATTCCCATGCAGAAGATGGACATCGACATCCCAGAGGAATACCGAGAGCACTTCATGCGACAGTCGCGCAAGACGAAAGTGACCGTAGACAAATGGCTTAGTGAGCAAGTTAGTCAGGCCACCAACGCACCGGATGAGGTGGATGATGAAACCCTCACCTTCGCCATCCTGACACACCTTGGGCCTGAACAGCGTCCTTTATTCCGCGCACTGCTGGGAATTCCGGCCGGCTCTCCTACGCCTCAGCCAGACGGAAAGCGTCCGCCACGACCTTCGGCATTAATATCGTCATCTCTAGCTATCCAGCGTCTCTATCGACTACCATCCCTGCCTCGGGACCCAGAGACTGCTATCTACATGTTGAATCACCCGGAACTCCACCACGTACTTGCGACTCTCGCGGCCATTAGTGATGACGAATGGGAAATTCTGATCTCCGGTCGCTTTGATGGATTCCTCCGCAGCGGCGCAGAGGATTCCTTTGCAGGGTCCACGCCGCAACGATGGAGTAGCAGCCGATCCAACACTCCTTTCACCACCAGTGGCATTTCTCGAGGTCCGACGCCCAGCCAAATGGATCCCAACTCTCGACCAGCCAGTCAGCCGTACGGCAGCGCCGCGTCGCCCGCGAACTTTGGAGGCCCCATCGCCTTGGATGAGGAGATGGAAATTGCAGCTTTAGCCGAGATCGAGCGTGACATCTATCTCGGGATGGAAGCTCTCGAGGACGCCTTTGAGGCACTCCATTGCAAAGCTGAGGTCGTCCGTCGAGCTCTTCGAGAGCGTGGTGCCGGCTTGTCTGTGGCCAACCAGCAACGCCGCGGGTCATATGTCGAGGCTCGCTTAGGCACGCCAGCATCCGGGCTGGGCACATGGGAAGACAGCACCGAAGATGACGGGTTGGACGATGACCGATCCTTGGCCCCCGATGACTCGGCTAGCAACATCAGTTCCAATCGCAGACGGCGACCCAAGCGCCGCACTGAACGACGGACCCCAGCACCAGTCGAAGAGGAAGACGAAGAACAAGACACATACGACAGCCGACGAGATCGAGGCTCCAAACGGAGATAATCCTGAACCTCCCTCTACTTAAAAAAACAAACCCCCCATTTTCTATCTTGGTGCTCCCCAATAATCTTGTTACAACCCATTGCATCTTTTTTTTCCCCTTCATTATTAAATACTTCCAGCGTTACGACCTTGATGAGCAATAGTTGAGCCACGAATGCACGAAACGTGATGAAATGAACTGAAGCCCAGCTCATGAGAATCCCTTGATCTATTGAATGACTTTACATGTGAAGTCGCAGTACAGAACCTCTCGGTGTATGTATGTACATTGGTACAGATTGACACGATTTCTAATGCTACTGTATTCTACCTTCCCTTTCCATCACCAGCGCACATTGGTACTAGCTAGCATCCAGCAAAGATAGAATATCTTCAGAAGAAAAACAATAGACCAACCAACCATCCCAAACATGAGATAAGAACACACCGCACATCCCAATCTAACACCAGGCAATCAAGACATTTCCCCGAGGCAATCACCATTAGCACAGTACCAATAGTAAACCCACCACCTACCGCACGTTCCCGAGTGTGGCCCCATGGTTGCAGTAGGCCCCAAATGCCATTGTCCCCACCCGCACACGCAGCACATGGGCTACACGCTAGACCCAAACAGTCAGGGAGTTGGGTGCTGGGCTGTTGAATCCATTATTGTGTTCTGCGGTGTAGGAAAAAAAAAATACTCTGTATGTACTTCTACTACTACGTAGACTATGAGATTCTCTGGGAGGAATCTATGGCTCCAACTTGTATGGGCCCACGAGGCGAGAAAATTTGGATCGACAGTGCTGGGGGTGGTGTGGACTACCGTCTAGTAATCTACACGTAGAGTTAATCAATTGTCTAGGGTACAGGGTCTGGGTTATCGTGGGTTTGGAGGTAGAGAGTGGGTGGATTGGGGGATGCGTCTTTTTTTTTTTTTTCCTTCTCATGTGTCCCCCGTATAATGTACTCCATACTCCGTATTTGATCCTCTGGGCACTAGGAGTGGATGGTGCCAAGATGGGGTGAGTCCTTTTTCTTTCATCAATATCTGTCGTTGTTGGGTGAGTCCGGGTTGTGATTGGTAGGCCGGGCAGGCATAAGGTAGTATTCTGGAGGCAGGAAGGAAAATAGTTTCTTGGGGGAAGACGGTCTAGCAGGTCCATGGCGTAAGGCTAAACTGTTTATTGCCTAAATTAGGAGAGGCGTGTTTGAGGCTCTTCTGGGGTATAATATATCTAGCTTTGATCTATTGGAGTTATTTTCAGGGTTGCATTTGGCATAAAGATAAGGGATGGTTCTTATTTTTGTTAGTCATCTTTATGCAGCTTAGGGGGTTGGCATGTGAGATGTGTTTTGTTGGCCATCTTGGTACCTTGCTTTGGCATGTCAGAGCTCCGGGTCTTTATTCTTTATTTTATTTTATTTTTTTTTTTTTTTCTTTTTTTTCCGTGTTTTTTTTTTTTTTTTTTTTTTTTTTTTTCTTCTTTTTCCGTGTTCGCTACCTGATCTTGTACATTCCGCTGCGGTATCTACCGTGTGGAACCATGGCTCGGGGACAGGAACCATGAAGGTTTTCATAGCAGAGAAGCTGAAAATTTTGCAAGTGCCGCACGCTAGAGCTGGGTTTCCACCCGTTTCCATCATTATGCGCTGATACTCGATATCTTAGGAAGCTTGTCTTTCACCACGGCTTCGCGTCCCAATATTGAGAGCTTCACAGCTCCTGGTCGTCCGATGCAATCTTGGGCTCTGATCTGGTAGAATCTCGGTCGGGAAGGTTCCGAGAAGTTGAGATGGGTGAGATAGGGGGTGCGAGATCTGGAAGCTTATCTCATTGTGCGAGTGGGCTGTTGTGTGCGAACCATTGAACCACAAAGTAGGGAATTCTTCGCACTGTGGAGATCTCTACTCGAATTTTGTCAACCCAATCAAAATCAATGAAAACCAATACATAGTACGTAGAGCCTATCCCCCGGATACAGCAGTGGATATGGAAGTGCACGTGCAATGCATCGAGGGGGATCTCGGAAGGATGAGAAGGATGTCCGATGAATCTGTTCATAATATCAAGGGAATATGATGAATCATTAGGGAAGTATCCCTGTGCTGATCAGACGCTGCAGAGTGGGCTTTAGTGGACGTTTGCATGAAACCGTCACCGTACGTCTGACCCGAAGCAGGCCAACCTGCGGCCGCAGGCTTTTGTTTACCGCGGGTCAAACTGTATTGCACCCATGGGAAGGCTCTCAACCACGCACACAAGCATGCGCAATGCAAATGAAGGCCACGGCTCGTGAGTAGAGATCGGCAGAGGACTTTCTTTTCCCATGGCTATGGGCTGACGACATGACACTTATGGAGTACACACATACTTTGTGCCAATCATTTGGAACCTCTTCCCGGTGGATTTCTCTGGAATGGATACCGAGAATTTGGAACTGGAAGAGATCGAGGGGGAAAATTGAGGTACGCCAAGACTAACTGGATCCATGGGAAGAGCAACGCCAATGCTCAGGGGCTGAGCTAAAGGGAACTAGAAGCGCAATAATTCCCTCAACTTCCAAGCTATGTCAGTTCACTCCCGATAATACTACGTCAAGACTTGGCATATTTGAGTTGACAGTTTTCATGTATCTTTTTTTGGTGAATTGCTTGAGTATTTGCCCGTCGATATATGAGGAACAACGGTTGCTGAGACGGTAACGCTGCATGTCGGCAGGGCCGATGCAGTTTTGACTCCCTGATGGGACGACCGGGTTCTTGCCGGTGGGCCCTGACTAATATCTGCTATCATCGGGATAGCCGACCTGATTTCCCAATGCAAAGCTGCCGAATTGCCGGATCGACAAGATATCAAAATGAAAGAGCGAAAACCTTTAACCACACCGACACGGGCGGGATGGTCAACCAACGACTCGATGTGGTCCTCAATGAAGATCATCATGTACTCAGAAAGCATGTACCTGGGCCGTTCTTGAACTCGATGCCGGTGCGCTGACAGGACATTGAATCATTATTGCACGGGCTCGCTCAAGCCATAGCATGGGCTGGAGATGTTTTGGTTTCCATTGAAGACCTCGCGCTCCAACGCAGTGCCCGTAGCTCCATCTGGTTACTATCGCCGCCTTCACCTTCCTACAGCTCAATAAGGTTGCGCACTGAGCGTTTTGTTCATGTGCCACTCATGTAGAACAGAGTTTAGGATAATATTATGAAAATCTCGCAAAGATAATCATACTCATCACATACGTGGTATGCGAATGTACCCATTCGCAGCTCAAATCCTTTGCATATGACGATGGCAAAATGCATACCTTGGAGGGCAAGGTTGGCTCAGAGCTCTACACCGTCGTAGTGTAGATCATGATCTACACATCCATAGAACGATCCCTTTTAGAGCCGTGGTGTCCAGTTGGAGAAACAAGTACTAGGACATACAGTCTCATTTCTTATATATTCATGGGAAGCCTATACTGAATTGAATGAGATCGGCAGCAAGTGGACTGAAAAAGGCAAAGCTGATCAGGCTTGGTGTAAGCCACTCCCAAAGCTGAAGAATTCTCCAAAAGCTAGTCGATCGATGGTAATTGAAGTTCCAGAAGCAAGAATTTAGGTTCATTCCAAAGACCTATAAGATTTAGCTCTGAAAAAACAAACCCTATTGTCAGCCCGTGGGACCGCGGGACCACGGTGGTGGACAGCAGGCAACTATTGCCGGTGATCTATCATGAGAATTTCAATCGGCACCCAGGGCATTACTGTGTATAACGTACACTTTGCGTGCCACCGGATCTCGGCGAAACAATGACAAAGTACCGAGGCACATGCTCGTTATCCACCAAACACGCACGATCTACGCGCTATCGGTTGGCTAGTATGTATAAGGAGATGCTCTGCTTTATGAGTCCTATGATGAGCTGCATGTAGCCATGTGGCAGCCATGGCTTCCCAGTTGAGGATCACGGTCCATGGACACAGTTCTGGACGTGTCCAATCTTTGAAGGGGGCTGGGCTTTGACACCCGGTGGAGGACGGTTTAGGTTTTGTAGGAGTACTTGTCCGCAGCAGGACACACATTAGCCAAAGTCAAATCAAATGAAGGTCGGGAGAATTAGTAATAATGATCAAATCACTCCGCTAATTGCCCCATATCTCACTCGAAAATACCTATCATAGGGAGTGACGTATCCACAATGGAGACAGTGAGGCTGTACCAGACGGAAGATACTGCAGGGAGGGTATTGAGAATCAATCCCATTCGGATTCTTTTTGATCTGGTGTTCGAAGTATGCCAGTGATGATCATTTCGTGAAAGGTCATGATGGTAAAATTCAGCCCACATCGAGTTGCAGAAGTATCGGAGCAGTAGTAGTATGACGACGAGAACTGATGAGCCAAAGGCGAAAAGGAGAGTCACAGAGCACTAAACCCAGAAGGGAAAGTCATGATCGAACAGGATCAAAAAGACCCGAATCCGGTTTGATACTTCCGTGCTTAATCTGGAAATGGAACCGAAAAGCCTAGATACACATTAGGCCTATTAGGGAGTAGCGTCATGTCATGCGGCAATTGAACGGGTCACCTCTTGTTCATGATTACCACAAGTACCAAGCAGAACTAAGCATCAACGAGCACTTGGGACTCAACTTCCACTGTGCCAATCAGTGGCAAACGTGTGGGCAGACCTTTACTGCATCCGCATCACGCTTAATTTATGAGGGGGTCTAGTTTGTCTGACTGCTCAGTTCATCCTTTATGATAGAGGTTTCGAGCTATGAGCCATCACATGCAGCCTCATATTTGGGGTTTCGCTCTTCCACACTATTGTTCATTAGGGGATGGTTACATTTTAAGATTATGCCTGTTGAATTAACAGACACCAACATGCGATCGTCTACTGCAGGGATGGGGTGTTACTATTGTATGCACTACAGTATACTAGTACAGCCAGTGTCTCGAGCGTCGCTACTTCTTCCCTGAGTACCGCCTCTAGCGGGAAGTGGGCTAGGTACACCAATCAATTACCGGGCAGTTCAGGTTCCTTGCCATCAACCACCGCTATGTACTCCCATTGTCAATCACACATAGGTACCGTTCCAGTTGTGAGTATCGCAGCTCGCAACTATGGTTCCGGATATAGCCCACAAGCTCTTGACTGTCGATAAGATCTGCCCAGAAATTTTGGGGGGGGGGGGGGGTTTGCGCCCGCTCGGACAACACCGAGCCGCACCTAGACGGATTGTCCAACAGTTTCCTTGAGTACATCCTGAAGCAAAATAAGCTTACACCTGGGAGGGAGAGTGAGAATGTCAACTCCGTATTTCATTTTTCTCTCTCCCTTCTCAGTTTTTCATTACACAAGCACACGGAATGAATGATACTGTGTACGCCGGAGTACATGATTACAGAGCAATGCTCCATTCCTCTGTGGATCTCCGGTATTTATTACCCACAACGATCGACGTAGGCGGGGGTCTTGAGAGTCTCGAGACGGTTGGGTTTCTGGAATGGTCTCTCCCTTCAGTCTCGGCAACTAATGCAATTTGTGTTTAGGGTTCTCCTCTCCTTTTCCACGGACAAGTCTTGTCTCCCGGTCACCAAGAAAGGAGTGAGATGCTTGACCTGGAAACTCTGCGGGGTTCCTGAGGCGGTTCATTCCTATTCTTGCTAATTTCCAGCTTTAAAGCACTAGGTCTGGGCCTAATGTCCAATCCAGTGGTGGCAAAGTTGAACTACTCCTGTTTCGATATTTTCCGTGCAATAATAATATCCTTCTGCCTGTGGTCGGTCAAAGCCCACTTCTGCCACAATGGGCCCAATTCTACCCCTGCAGACGACGACTGTTTGGAACCTCTTTGGTTCAACGGTTACCATCTGTGCCCTTGTTTTTACTCCGTACTAGGCAACCTAACCCCGTAAGGTCATGGGAAGGTTATCTATCGTCGAATTACGAGAGCCAAGGAATTCTACTACGAGCCGTTCCTCCTCAATTCCCCCGCAGCCCAAAACACATTCGTGGCCTTACTTCTCTTGGCATGGAACCCTCGTGTCTAGAGTTTTCAGGAACCACCTCCCGGGCCCAGAAGTCCATTAGGTTTTTTGTTTTCAATTACCTCTTTGATCGTCCGGAAGGGTGCCCCTGTACTGGCGTTCCAATTTCAGTCAGGAAACCTACTACTCCTTAGTCCGTCCAGTCCTGTGGAGTCGGTCCCTTTCATAAAGGAATTGTTGGTTGAGGCGGAGACAACTAAGCCCATCAGAGTTTAATAAAAGCTTTGCGCGGCCTACGGATGAGAAAAGGTGCCACTCCACACAATCCACTCGCCCAATGTCGGTAGTTTAGTTTCAATCCCCATTGTAGCAATTTAGTTAAACCATGAAAGAAAATAATAGAATTAATATTGCACTACGTTCGTCGTGGCCCTTAACCTTCTCATCCCCCCCTCCACCCCCCTCTTTTCTTTTCTCATGCTGATAGCTGGTCCATCATGGAATAAGGACATGGACTGCCCCTGAAGAAAGCGGATATAATAGATATATCTCCGCTCTGGACTAAATCTCCATAGGGTGCCAGCCCGACGATTTGCATCCTAGTTCTGCCGGAGCAATCAGTGTCTCCCCAGGGTGGTTTTTCATCTTCCTGTTTCTAATATCGCTTCGACAACTTCGCCCTACCCTGGGGCACGGCCTCCGCACGTGTCGCACGAAGAATGATAACTGCGGAATCGAAAGGATTACTACGAGAGGTTAAACGACAATGAGTCTGGCTCAAGTGTTGAGTGTGCTGGCCAGTCGTGACGACGAGGGTAACTCCCTTGCACGGCGACTGGCTTATACTAATGGTGGCCCTACATTGGATATCGATCCTCTACCATCAGCCCAACGCAAGGGCCTAATTGCGGTCACCGTCATGGCCTTCCTATCCTTCATCGCGACTTTGATTCTACTATTGTTCATCACTTATCGGCTGGTCTTCTGGCGCTCCAACTACGCACGATATATCGGTTACAACCAGTATATTGTTCTTATCTATAACCTAGTGTTGGCCGATCTGCAACAATCACTGGCATTTTTAATCTGTCTTAAATGGATCACAGACAACAGAATAGAAGCGTCTTCGGCGGCCTGCTTTCTTCAAGGATTTTGGCTGCAGATTGGGGATCCCGGCAGTGGTTTGTTCGTGCTCGCAATTGCCGTTCATACATTCCTTCTGGTAGCACTGGGTCGCAAGCTGAGCCATCGAGTCTTTGTTTGTGGCGTGGTCGGCGTTTGGCTTTTTGTGGCTATCTTGGTTATTATTCCGCTCGCATCCCACGGACGATTTGTCTTCATTCCGTCAGGCGCATGGGTAAGGGTCTTCTGTTTTCCCGATATAAAAGTCGATTGCTAAATGTAACCCCAGTGCTGGATCAGCGAAGAGTACGAGCCAATCCGTTTGTGGACTCATTATATCTGGATTTTCCTGGCCGAATTCGGAACCGTCTGTCTCTATGCCATCATGTGGTTCCAGCTACGCCGTCGGATCAAGCAATCTGCCATCCTTGGAAGCAGTCATACGGAGAGTCTCAAGCGCCTGCGACGTGTTATCGGATACATGATTATCTATCCGGTTGCGTACATTGTGCTGTCCTTGCCTCTTGCTGCGGGACGAATGGCAACCGCCCAAGGTCAAACACCAAGCATTGCCTTCTTCTGTGTTGCAGGTGCCGTTATTACGAGTTCAGGCTTAGTCGACGTCCTTCTCTACACGCTCACTCGTCGAAACCTGATTTTGGAGTCCGAGCCAAGTCGCGATCGCAGCTACAACCGCTTTGCAAGCAGCAAAAACCGAAAGACTGACCATCTCACAACCATTACCGCCGCAGAAGGCAAGCACACTCGGACTGATATCAGCGTTCTGCGCACCCACCGACACCGTGAAGACGACGACGAATTCGGCCACACTGTGCGCGAAGGATCCACTGACAATATCGTACAACCTTCCGGCATGGAACTGGCGCCTCTTGGAAAGGTGTATCAACATACCACAATTGAAATCACCCACGAGCCTGCCTACCCGGAGGCTGAAAGCAGTGACCGGTCGAGCAAAGGGTCCCTCGGAAACGGCAAAGGTCCCGAGCAGAGCGCCAGGATGTGGGGGAGATAGCCGACAGTCGACTGGCTTGCAACCCTTGCGCAGTTACTCTTACGGAAGAACGCCAACTCCTAATATCATCGAATTAATGTCGAATGCCCTTTCCTTTCTCTTGTCTTTCTCTTCTCCTTACGCTCTCTTCACTACCATTCATATATTTTTCTTGACATAATACGCTTATTAGTGATGTCCGGGCCTCCCGTTTCTGGGGCATCTTACTGTTTCTATTATTCATGACGCCTATATTGATATCCCAGGCCCTCAGCCCTGTGTTTATTTAGTTCTAGGGTGATTGGTCTATCCATGTCTTTCATTACAACTTATCTTGTACATATATACTATTCCCTTCTATCTACACATGTCTTTATATTGGGAGGAGAGATGAAGATTTGCAACCAATGACCTATTGGCCGTGACGAGCCTTCTCAAGACCTTCAAATAGAATAGATACCATATCTACAATCGAACAGAATACCAAACTACTCGAATTCCAAATCACACAACCCCACTGCATAACCCCTTAGTATCAATCCAGGGATGCACACATACGAATAACTCCCTCGCAAAAATAATCCTTCAGCGCCTCGCCATACAACCAGACGTATATCAGCTGGAACTATTACACACTAATTCAAACGCAATGGCTTCCAAAGCAGATCAGCAACCAACGTGAGCACGGAGCTCCGGTTCGTGTTAGCATGACTGAATAAATGGACCAGATTAACTCAGGACTTATGCCAAGTTGCTGGAAGGATGGCGTTCCGCGTCAATGCGGTGGAGAGATCTTCATGATCGTCAGACGAAGCGCGATGATCGACTGCGACATCGGCTGTCTTCGGAAGGGGTCGCGAGGGCCGATGCTCATAGTGCTTGGCTGTCTGTGGAAATTGATGTCAAAGATTTGTGGTCCTTGGGGGGGGGGGGCCGCTTTTACTGCTTTTTTTTGGCTCGTTGTTGGTAAAGGGTTGCTCACATGTTGTTCAACTTTTGTGTTCCCTGTCGGGTTGCATTCGATTACCCTTTCATTGATTTCCTAGAGGGTTTAGCTGAAGTTCGTATGGGTTTGCAGGTGGGGGAGAGCAGAGTATAAAGCTGCTTCCCCCATGATGTCTATCTCCTAAGTAGATTTTCTTTCTACTAGGAAATCGTTCAGTACTGTATAGTATGGCTGCTTTTGGTGTATTTGATCCCTGGAGACGAAATACGTCGGTAGTACTCGGTTAGTGCTAGGATATATATAAAACTGGCGCATCTTCACATGAGGGGGAACATTTCTTAGTCCCAGCAACATCGTATTTTTTTTTTTTTTACTAATCATCGATTGAATCGATAGGAGTTACAGCTAGAACCCATCTCTATCTCCCCCTCTCTCTGCGTGTGTCTGTGTGTCTGTGTGAAATATGGGAGAAAGCGAAGCTGGAGGGTTTAGTATACCTCAGTCTGGGATCGGTGACTGAGAATTTAATCTGCTCATGCATTAAAATATAAATGCTGCTACGAATCTGTAAGTGTAATGAGTCAAATCATTCTTGTCAATCCATCTCGAGGCTTAAACTTGGTTCCTATATCCAGGACCGGTATCGTCATCATTCTGACATTGCCTACGGCTCGCTCATATTATCGACTATGAAGGCTGCCGTCTGTGTAGACAAATGGGACGATAGGTGATATAAACCTATAATTAAATCTAATGTTAATCTCAGCCATCGTATTTTGAATTACTAACTGCCGCTCGGCTACACTATAGAGTATCAAGACCCCCGACTCCCACCAATTATGTTATAAGAAGTGGTAATTGAAGATCTTCTTGGAAACACAGTGTATGTGGGCAAGATATTATTGTGCACAGTGGTCTGTTTTGAGAGACCTGTAGGGGTATTCTAGAGGATGAGAGATTAAGAATATGAAGGGACTTGTCCAAGTTCGTGGAATATACTAGATCAACACCAAACAATGACGTTTACAGGTAACCGCGATGTTAAATTTCTATTTAACTAGGTCTGACCTTTTATTAAGACTACATTGAAGTTATCACCGGGGCCAAACTGTCTGAAGCTCTATACTCGTCTTGATCGAAATACTATGGTTAGTTTGGTGGAAGTCGGACGATAGATTTTGATGAGTTAGGTGGACTACGAATCATACACTCGAGACGAATGTTAGTCCTTCCATCAGAAAATACACGGGCATAAGGAATGCTCTATCCTGATGCCTTATCGCCCTCAATTGAGGCCAGCTGCTGTTCCCCATATGATGCTTGAACACAAGGAATCCTTCGTCGTACAGGACACACTTCCACGTGGAAAGCCACATGCATTAGCGAACGACAGAGACAATGAACGCGAAGAGAAATCCCCATGGGATGTCGTAGGTAAGACATCTAGAGTTCCACGTGATCAAGTTCACTAACCATGCAGGGGCTCCCTCTTGATCCTGTTCTTCTTTGACAACCATTGATATCACATTCTCCCATCGGCTTACGGCGTATACCTTCGTAATGAATACTATACGACCGTCCGTTCCCCGTTTGTCTGCCTTGCTTCGCAAGAAACCGTTTCCCATGCCTTCTCCCGGGCCACCTTTACCGCCTGACATACTTGTTGATGAAGAGATCTCGCCAGTATACAATTCCAAGTACTTCTACCCAGCGAAGCCCGGAGAGGTACTCGCCAGTCGTTACCAAACCCTGGTCAAGGTCGGTTGGGGCGTGTCTTTCAACAGTATGGCTCGCGCGCGATCTGCAAGGGTAGCCTTCAATAATTTCTGTTCAATTCGAAGCTCTCTGTATCTAATAAACATACAGGCATGTTGAAGAGCCAGAAAATGTTGTGGAACTGAAAATCGCCAATAGCAATACGAATTCCGCTTGTCATGAGCGCGAGGTTGAAGAGCACGTTTCCACAGCAGATCCATCACATCGTGGTCGCTCACTTATCCGACCATTGTTAGACTCTTTTGAAGTTAAAGGCCCAGAAGGTTTTTATTCTTGTCTTGTATATCCACCTATGAGGGAGCCATTGTCGATGTATCGGCGGCGCTTTGACGATAGAAAGATGCCACTGCCCCTTATTAAAACATATATTCGTGCTCTTTTTACAGGGCTTGATTACCTTTACAAAGAATGTAGGATATTTTATACGGGTAAGTTCATCTTCGGCCTTGCTTTCCGTTGGTGATACTAAGTTTTGGCGGTTACCTAGATCTAAAGCTTGAAAATATTATGGTCTCATTCGAGGGTCCAACTATACTTGCTGATTTCATAGATTCTTAGTTTGAAAGACCGATAGCTTTCAAGATTAATTCGACCGGACGACCAGTGTATCAGTCCCAGAATAACCTGGGGCCACTCAAAAGCCTAAGAAGTATACCACAGCTTATTAACTTCGGCTTGGTAACCAGACTAGAAGAAGATGACGACTGGGGCGTCTGGCCTACTCAGCCAGATCACTATCGGGCACCAGAGGTGATACTGGGTAATGGATGGCAAATGCCTGCGGATATTTGGAATCTTGGTGTTCTGGTGCGTCCCGTTGTTCTCCAAAGTTGTTGCGTGCACTGATGCCAGATCAGCTGTGGGATATGATCGAAGGCAAAGAGTTATTTCGGCATATCCATGATCAACAAGGTCGCTATGATGCTAAGCTACGCATCGCCGAAATGATAGCCTTACTCGGTCCACCACCTCCAGAGATCACACAAAGGTATCAATACATGCGAGAATACTCTTGGCCGCAACCTGTCAGACGAGAAGACGACAAAGCATGCGGGACGGCGGAGGAGTACTTTTGTGGGCCATTCTTTGACAATAGTGGTATTACTGGGTTTCCTATCTCGAACGAAATATTCTCAGACTCACGAAACATCTTAGGTCGCTTTCTCTACGAAGACCTGATCCCCGACCGGGAACTAGGCGGCACAGTTTCATTTCTTGAGGGAGAGGAGAGGGAAGCGTTTCTGGATCTCGCGAAGGTAATGCTTGTCTGGCATCCAGATATGCGAAAAAAGGCAGGCGAACTGGCGGAGCATCTTTTTCTTCAACTAAAGCAAACAAGCGCCTGATTTCTGCGAGTGTTTGATAGCGGGACGACTCGAAGTCGTGGTTGATCCCAGTTCGACGGTGCCATAAGATGACCGGTTGAAGCGTTGACGTAGTTGTCTTTCTGAATGGCATATAATAGATCTGATAAACACCCCCCGGTGAGTTGACGGTCAAAGACGACGTGTTTAACTTGATCCTTATCATTGTGTTGGAATGTGGGGAGAGTTAGTTATATTAGCAGAATGGTATACGGTGGTACAGTGGTACAGTGGTACAGTCGATGGTACACTTGGGGTTCCAGCCCAAGTTCAGTCCCTAATAAAGCGACAAGCCCTTTCCTAATTATTGTCAAGTTCGTGGAAAGATCACCATTCATCTAGGATATCAGCTCGCTGTCGGAGAGGCACCGTACTTTGACCAGTAGGCCCAAGAGGAGAGGGCGATTTTGCTAGGAGAAGGTAGAGAAGTGTCACGGAACAGGGCTTGCTCTTGGAGAGCCGCAATAGCTGAAGTGTGCATTTGAGTTTTCACCTTCTCATGTAGACCGAAAAGTCGAAGTTCCAAACACTAGATAAGGGTACTGAGCCAGTTTTGTTGATTAAAGCGCAGCAAGTCTCTGGGCATCAAGAATAAGAGTAAGTCTCAACTTTGTCCTAGTAATACTCCACTTTGCAAGCTTGGGTATCTAGCTGGAGAGCAAACGATCAAATAATCTGGATCAATCCGGTTTTCAACTACGAAACTCGCAAAATCGCCGCCAGAAGCTGTAGAGGCCGCATACCGCGGTGCCAAGCAACGTGTTTAGACTTGTCCTGACTAGGCCAGTAATCCGCAGGTTATCTGTACGGAGTACGCGCGGAGTACACGTGAAGCACAACTGCCGTTGCTCGCATACCGACTAAATCGGTGCTCGGCTGAAACCAAAGTATCTCCACATCTCCCGCTCGCGACAATAAATGCGACATCCGCTTAGTCAAGCGGACATAACATAACTAACTAGCATAACTTAGCGTGCTGAGGGGTACACGGCTTATATCAAGACAGCGACCCCAGTGCTGGATGATAGGAGTTAAATTGATTGACCAGAGCGGGTGAAGAGTTTCTCTCGCAGACGGATGGTAATCATATATCGTTGCCACGGTTGTTATTCGTGTTACTGTCTGAAAGATAAGGCTATTGTTCCAGAGACTAGACGCCTTGATACGTGCCTGTGGATTGTAGAGCGACAAATTGCATAGCAAATTGCTAACTCCTTCAGTTTAACAAGATGGAGTGGCAGATATATGTGGGCATTGCGTTTACACTGTGGATCGTCCAGGTAATAGTTTTTTGTCGTCTGCGCTTACTCCTGAGCGCCCCTTCAATACTTCGGTGACTCACCATATTAGGTTCTCTATATAGCTGTGTCGTCTCCTCTGAGGCGCGTTCCCGGTCCATTGTACACATCTCTGACCAGGTTACCTCTGAAGTTCGCAAGTCTCACTGGGAATCGCATTTATTTTGTGCACGAATTGCATCGGAAATATGGCCCAATTGTCCGCGTTGCCCCGGACGAGGTTGACATATCTTCACTTGCCGAATTCAGGGAAATTCATCGCGCCGGAACTCCATTTTTGAAGTCAAAATGGTACGAAAAGTTTGTTCCTTCGAAAAGATCCGGAGTCTTTACAATGAGAGACCCTAAAGAACATGCTGTGCGGAGAAAACTGTTTGCACGTCCATTTTCGAAATCAGAGCTGCGCCGAACCTGGGAGCCAGCTGTCAAAGAGAAAGTCCAATTGGCAGTCTCTCAGATCCGGTTGGAGTTAAAGACAGACGGGAAATCTGACTTGCTCAAATGGTGGACGTTCCTTGCCACCGATGTGAGCGGTCATTTGATGTTCGGCGAGTCATTTGACATGCTTCGGGTTGGGAAAGTAAGTCGCAGACACCTACACCTAATGCATTGGCGTTTTACTAATGTTTCAGAAAAACCAATATATCCATGTGTTGGAGTCCACCATGATGGGCTCTGGAATCGGGGCGGAGCTTCCGTTACTGGCGTGGCTCGGTCGTCACATTCCTCGTTCATCGTTTCGGAACATGTTCCGAGCAACCGACTACCTTTTCCAGTACGGACAGCGGGCGATAACAAATAGCCGGACGACTAGTAATTCCAGTCGTAACATCTTTGCAGGCATGTTGCATGAGTCAGAGAAGGGCGACGGCATTATTACCGATGAAGAGGTGGTGTTGGAGGCTGGGAATCTCATCGTGGCCGGCTCAGATACTACCGCAATCACTCTGACATACCTCGTCTGGGCAGTACTCTCGCAGCCGAACCTGCAACGCGAGCTAGAGGAAGAAGTCAATAGTCTTAGCGCCGATTTCAATGACGCTGCGTTGGAGGAGTTACCGCTGCTTAATGCAGTCATCATGGAAGCATTGAGGCTATACGGGGCAGCCCCGGGGGCGTTGCCTCGAGAGACACCTGAGGGTGGAGCGACGTTCTGTGGCTACTTCATCCCTCAAGGAATGACTGTGAGCACCCAGGCCTATTCAATCCACCGGGACGGGGATGTTTATCCAGATCCCGAAAGGTTTGATGTCAGCCGCTGGCTCGCACCGGAGACGAGCGCTTCTGAACTTGCCAAGAAGGCCTTTTCGCCGTTTGGAGCTGGGGGTAGAATCTGTCTGGGAATCCATTTGGCTTGGATGGAACTGCGATTGGCGACGGCTCAATTCTTCCGAGAGTGTCGAGGGGTCAGATTGGCGCCAAGCGCGACATGGGAGAACATGCGGCCCGTGAATTACTTTTTAATTTCACCGAGAGGGCATCAGTGCGAGATTCAGTGGAACTAACTGGGAGGTGTCACGTCAGCACGAGATGGCCAAATTCTTGTTTTCTTTTGTTAGTTCCCGTCTCTGTCCAAGGCGTAGAAGCAAGCATGTATTTATTACCTGGTAATAACCTGTCATGCCTTGAAAAAGTCAAAGTTTAAAATGAATTGAGGAGGGAAAAGAAAACCCAAAAAAAAAACAGCGAACAAACAAAAGAAGCAAGCACCCCACGCAGCTCGTGACTCCACCTCCTTGAGAACAGGAAAAGTTATCTCCCCGATCTGCAAGATCCAATCCCTCACTCTTCTCGCGCTCGGCTGATGCCGGATCATCCAAGCCATACCCGTTGCCAAGACCCATTCCATCAAAGCTCCACCATATGGACCACTTGATTGTATGGTTGATTGACATCAAGTCGGGATTCGCTTGCGCTGTTCGGGATTTGCATTTTTTTTCTCACGGCCGATACAAAACCTAACCATGCCATGAGCAAACCCCTCTATTTGTGCAGGACGATGTACGATCCTTGCTTTTTTCGACTTCGCTCCATATTGACCGGGATTTGAGATATGACTGCCGATCTCGAACATACGCGTTCTATTTGCCAGAAGGCCAGCCGTCCTCCTGTCAAACTAGCCTGTCTTTCTTGGTGCGTCCCTGGCATATATGAAGTGGATGATTAACTGAATGAGTTCTCGCCCCGAGGCAGTCGTGCGTTGCGCATACGTTGTGATGGCCAGACAGCTTGCTCCAACTGCGACGCGAAAGGAAGATCTTGCTCTTATGTGCCCAGTCGACGAGGCGGACCACGTTCTTGTTCCAATAGGAAGCATAAAGCTGCTGCCGTTCGTCTCGAAACAGTAACATCTGTTGTGGAGGGGGAAAGCCGCCTACCGAAGGCCTCGAGCAAGACGGGGATGTCGCCTCTCTCGGGAGGTGGTAAGTCGCTCTTGACCAGTTCTTTGGATGCTCTTAATAAGAGTCAAGGATCTAATACGTTGTATTTAGAATGGGTCCACCAACTGGGAGGCTTATGTGGCCCAGGGGCAGGCCTGCGCAGCGTGGAGATGCCCTTTGCGGAAATCGACTCTATATTTGACTCCATCTTTGGTGCCCATGCAGACGAAATCAATCCCGACTCCAATTTGAAGTCGGTATCTAACCCCGTACGACTCTACGGCAGTAATGAAGATATGTAAGCTTGGGTGCAGAACAGTCATCACGTGCTGTGTTGACAGAATTAGACTTGACGCTTATTACGTTTTTATCCATCCTTATTTCCCAATCTTGCCCCCGTCTGAACATCAGCCCGTGTCTAGCCGTCCATTAGCTAGAGGCCCTCCAACCTTTGAGCCGACGAGCCCTCTTAGCCTGGCTATTTCAGCCATTCTGTCTCTGATACCCCATCCGAACGAAAGAAATTCCAAGACGACAGAGTATTTGAAGAGACGAAGGGAATATGCACATTGTTTTGCACAAACGGCCCTTGGCGTCATTGAAAGAGACTATGAACTGCTCAGCATGGGCCAGAATTCACAGACTGGTCCAGCTGACACTACCAAAGCCTTTGAACGAGTACCGTTTCATCCGAAGCTGGAAGTACCCCTGGAGGGCGTTGTGACATTGTCAATACTTAGTATTTATGAGTATGCACAACGGGGGAACATTGATAATATGCTTCAACGGGCCAACCAGGCCCTTGCACTGGCCATGAGTATGTCCCTGCATGAAGCGGTAGAGGAAGAACAGTATGCAGACTCTAAACGGAGGGTTTGGTGGATGACGGTAGGTGCCTGTGATATATTCATTATCTAGTCGTTGCTGATCTTGATCCAGTATATGATGGCATGTCAAGCAGCGGCTATTAGCGGAACGGTTCGTTTAAATGCACATTCTTCGCAGGATACATGACTCACCCATCACAGTCTCCAGCCTTTGATCTTTATGATCCATGGTTTGTAACTCCATATCCGGAAGTATGTTGTTTGAACAAGCCCAAAACTGGATCACACAGATTTACTTACCAATATAGGGGTGGAAACTCATTGTCGAGGCCCAACAGGTCCTTGTCGAATCTGCCGGATTCGCCAATGATCTTGATAAGACGATGCTTGAAGCTGATGACACATCTTGGGTTTCCAAACGCATGAAGGAGCTTGACAGGCAAATATCTTCTCTATTATTCTGCAGTCGAGATGCTCCTCTTGTGTCTCAGATGGCTCCACAGCCTGAATCCATTGAATGCATGACATCGAAGGCCATGAGGGATTTTGCAGAGATCAAGCTACACACGTAAATACTGCCCATCCATGAAAGGTGATAACTTCGCTAATAATACAGGGCGCGGATCAAACTGCATCGACTGTGCGCTTTTCAAGATATTCTATCTGGCTCTATACGACATCCAGAGGTATCCATACCTACGGACAGTAATTCTCGGATGGATATGCCGTTAGAAATGAGCAGCGACTCTAGCCTGGTTGAAGACTTCTCGCTGATGTCCCAGATTCATAAACTTCAGATGCCGTTTTCTAGCGAAGAGTCATCAAAGATTTGTCTGCATGCAGCACTCAACATTGTCACATTGCTCGATAACCTTCTCTACCCGAATCATACCAGCGATATCCTAGCTAATACACAATACGCCCGTGGGGGGTGTGGCAATGAACTGCCCCGAACCATGCCAACGGTGGTATGCTGCGGAGTGCAGTCCAGCTATGCAATGCTGATGCTGGGTCTGAAAGCGCGGGCTATCCAACACACCGCGCCTGACGACATCAATGCTCTGGATACCACCTCTTTATCCGACTTCCGGAACGAGCTATATCACAACTTACGGCTGATCGTCAAGTTCTTAGAGAATTACTCTATTGCATTCGAAGCCATACAGGGGATAAGTGGTATATCATTATCGCTCCTGACAAGACACCGGCTAACTTGCAGCAGATAAATTAAATCAGGCCATAGACCGAGAGTTCTTGGCGTAGAAGCAGCCCTCCTCCTTCGCGTATCTGTGTTGGAATTTTCCCCTTCATTTCCTTTTTGTTTTTCTTCTTTATTGTCAATAGCCTTTAGCGACCTAGATGATTGAATAGTGTTATACCATAGCGATATGTGTGTGATGCATATGACTCATAGCGCATGCTGCTAGTTCAATGGCCATCTTCCTTTTTTGTCCTTGCTTTATCCAACACGCTACCACCCACCGACAGTGGCAAACATAGTAACGAACTGACCCAGGCTTCCCACTGTCTGCAACCCGCGAGGGCGTATGTATCGAAATCCCAAAAGATTGCTGCAAGGTATCCCAATGAGTCTTTTATCTGACGACTGGGAAGCAACCCAAGCGCAAAGGCTTAAGAGAAACGATCCATATACGCAGCTATTAGTTCCCAGAAGCCCGTCCCAAACATACTCAAATCTAGTGGGGAGCTTTAAAGATGCTACTGAGATACCTAATTTCGCCAAGAGAAATAGCCTGAAGAATCGACGAGCCTATACCCGAACATTCCAAAGGACGAACCAAATAGCGGCAAGGGGCTATCTAAGACTGACCTTTTCATCCCTCACAGAGTAAGAAAGGTCGCTTAAGTCTATTCACCAAGATAGGACCGATAACGCCGTAGGACCCGGTATGAGGGATCAACCTGCCAAATGTGGGTTCAAATCCCTTGCTGCAAGGCGTCACCAACGCATACTATGCAGTATTTCAATCCCGACCTGCAGCAACGCACTAGTATTGGCAAATGCTGGTTGTCTCTGGTCGAATGGTAGCCGAGGATATTTATGTAAGGGGGGCCTAGTTGCATATGATTGACGAAGTTGAGGGGTTTCCGCCCAACAAGCATTTTTGCCACATCTGATACAGCTGGCATTCACGGTTGCGGAAATGGCGGGGTTCTTGTTGGGATATCCAAATAGCAATATTCCTTGTAACCCAAACGGTCCCCTTGCAGAGAGATCTGTCGATCCGGGGTCTGGGATAGACCGTGGATGTGGATGTTGTTTTGGTGAACAAGTACACGATATGAAAAGGCCGAACAGCGAGTACGAATTGAGTGGAATACCTGCGAGCTTTGATATTTGATGTATACTGAAGGGGTATTGGGATGTAAATACAGATACTTCTTCAAAGAGGTTTACAATACCATACACCCATGCACAGTAAAAGCTAATATAAGCCAATGATATCTAGTCCTCGACGCTCAACCGACACCGAATCGCCAAGTTGCCAACGAACCAGATATGGAATACGTCGCGCGATGGGGCTGATCAGGACGTGAGAGTAATTTTTAATTTATTGGTTTGAGAAGTGATACTCATACTATATACTCCGTGCTAAATAAAGATGTAGTTAAAGCGAATTTCTCCAGCCGTCCGGGAATATATAACGTGCATGTTAAGCATGAACTCCGACTCAACTAATAGATTCATCTTGTCACTCACTCTACAGAGTAGTGATATTAACCAATCAACAGCAAAGACTGTGACATCCGTCGCAATATAAAAAGTGAAAAAGAGTGACTTGGGGTCTAATTATACTCAGTCGTTTTATCTCAAGCAACGATCAACCGAACTGATGTAAATCTTGCCTGTTACGATGGATCTTCTGAAGTCTGCATAGTGATGTGCATTCTTGGCCCTCCACTTCTCGTGTTCATCACTCCTTTCATCTAACATTGATGAGGTTGTTATTTCGTACACTGATTCCATTTATTTTAAAACAATTGATCGGTAGATGTCCTGACTTCTGGATCGTATCAGGAGATGCGTATATTCCGGTTTTCAGCACTACAGGTCCTTGGTTATTGTCATTGAGGAAGAATGAACCCAGATGCAATCAGATATGATCATCGCCCGAAGCTCGTATTCTGTCTCGAGGCAGATCCATTGCAGATCTGATAACCAACACGACGTTACAATGGATGAAGCAGGGATATAAAAATAGATACGATAAATACGCTTCACATGAACAAAGTGGGATATATAGATCCGTAATCTCATCATTCTCTCAACTTATGCAATATCACAACTCTACCCAGACATCCCAACCAGACCATAAAGAAAACGAACCACCAAAATGAAGCTCATCCTTGCCACCCTCCTCACAACCCTAACGGCAACGAACGCCCTACACCCCACCACCGCAAACAGCACCACCGGCCAGAAGATCCTCAGCAAAGCCCTGACAGCAGCAGGAACGCCCTACGCCTGGGGCGGCGGATCTTGTGAGGGTCCCTCGCACGATCAACCGCCCTACCAGTACGGCGATATCGGGTATGACTGCTCGGGACTCGTGTGTTGGGCTGTGTGCCAGGTCACGGGTCGGGATTTGTTCTCGGAGGGTCTGCGTGTCACGTCTGATATGTATTGTGCTAAGGAGAAGGAGTTGAAGTATAAGTATGCTTCCTTTTCCCCCCTTTCTTTGCATTTCTTTGCTGTGGTTGAAATGACATGGTATGAATGTTGGATCAGACTAATGGAGTTTACTGTCCAGGAAATATCCGTATGAGCAGCGCAGAGCGGGCGATGCTGTTTTCTTCGGTGGGGAGTGTGACTGTGCAGACAGGGAGAGTATCCACCATGTTGGGTTGATGATGTATGTTTTTCTTTTTCCTTTCCCTCTGAGGATATAAAGCGGTTGCTAATTATGATAGGGACTCGGGCGATCGTATGTGGAATGCTCCTAATGACCGCGTGAATAAGGTCCAGGAGAACAGCATCGCCAAATTTGGGGAGAAGCCTTGTCCTTATGTTGTGCGGTTTGCTTGATGGGGTTAGTGTAGGCCTCGGAAGTATAATGTCTGCGGATGAGCTGAATGAGTGGGTACAAGGTCTATGCTATTGTTGGTAGTTGATCTAAGACAATGCGTTGCTTATGATGAATGTGAATGGTAGTTGCCCCGACGTAGTCTCGCTGTCAAGAGTGGTATTGAGGTTGCTCTGAGATTCTCCGCTGCCTTTAGAATCCCCGATACGCTTTCAGCACAAAATAAGTCAACAGCGTAGTAGGACAACCCTAGATATTGAATGTCATATGTTCGCCCCAGCGATAGTGTATATGCGAGTAGCTACGGTGGTCTGTTGAACAGCTTGAACTTTAGCTTGCCTCACAGCCCATGAGGAAAATAGAATCCTCCCTCATGCCAGATGCCCCCTAGTCCATGGGACCGCTGAAGAGACAGCCACGTGGCTATTTATATCTCGACGCCTACCGGCATTAAACTCCGAATTACTGAGTATATATCGGTATCCAGCGTTGTGCTGGCCCATATAATTATTGACCTGGGCCAAAATTTGGTTATCGTATTTTTGGTGTATTATGTTTTGAGAATATTGCATTATAGAATGCTGTTTTGGAGATACCTTCATAACTCCAGAGGCACGATCCACAGCTTGTCACAATGCTAGAAAGGTAGTATCAGGCTGAGACAGGCGGAGCATATCCGCTGAGCTTCTGTCCTCGAATGTAACCTGAGAGTTGTCAGGGCAAAAGCCAGGCACAAGCTGTCGAAACCAGCCCGAAGTGCGTATCGAAGACGAGGCGAAAGAAGTTCCCCACAACGAAGATGGAAAAGTGATACAGTGAATGGATGGCTACTCGGAGTTATTACCGTTCTACTTGGATCTACGGGGAGAACATAAAGCGGCGCAGACTGAGTACTGAAATGGAAGAGAAACATCAAGTCTTGGCATAGGATTGCTGGTACTAGGTTTCATTTAGGAAATACTTGGTTCCCCAGATCCCAAAACATCAGCCCTCATGCCGTCCTTCACTAGAGGCTATGCATATAATTTCGAATAATGACGATTGCTTTCTTGATTTAGATTTCAACATTACCACCTAAGGGAAAGTCTAAATTAGGATATAAATAGCGTTAAGACCAGAGGCAAGGATACTTACCTCGAATTGCTTTCAATTCAAGGTAGATGGAATCAGAACCGCCCTGAGTCAGCTCCAGGCCCAGGTCGTCTGTCCGAGACACGTAGAGCCCTGATCTAAGGTCTTGAAAGGTAAAAATAGAATGTGTCACACTATAGTCATACTGAAGAAGGGTACACGCAACATATGTATTTAAATGTAGACATACGGCGTGGCAGTCCGCGTTTCACTTTGATGAGGCTGATTGACAGATGGCGAGTGACAAAGCATGGAGATGTTTTTATATTGCCAAATGAATCCAGTACTATCACGTGTTTGACCGATTTCTCTACAGCCTTTATAACCGGTAGGGATATCCGAATAGCAATACAGAAAACACCGATATATACTAAGCATTATCTTTAATATAGCTAGCCCGTCGGTGCAACTCTCATGTCAGCGGGCCTGTCAAAGTCTACAGTATCCCCGTCCAGTAGGGAACAGCTCAGGTGAGTCTTCAGGACTAATTTGACATAGGTGGTATCATCTTGGGGTATCCTTAGGACGTTTTACGTGGAGCGGCGACAAAGGAATTGGCTCGTATGGGGCTTGTGCCCTCTAATAGGTACTGTATTACTCGATATTGCGGTATTTGGTGGTGATACGGAGCGTTTCATGTTTTCTTTGCCTTTGCTCTGGCGTATTCTTTCTTTGGGGTATGTCTCTGATACGGGCTGCGAATTCTATGAATTATTGAGTTCCAAGTTGTCACAATATGGTCTAATTCTCTTCTGGCATCTATTGACTTCTTCCTCTACGAGACAAAACTATGGGTATAAAATATGGTCCCTTGAGGTATCGCTCACAGAAATGCAAGTCATATCAAACAAACACAATGAAGGTGAGTCACTCTCCTCTAGGCTCTATACCACCCACCGATATTATATCCATCTTCAATGGTTGCCAGCTTTTGCCTGCGTTATTGAGTCTAGTTGGTGTTTGAGCGACGCCGATGCAGTATCGAATAAACGCGGCAAAGCTCGCAAGGTTCGAGACTCAGCTCAACCTCGGCCTCCTCTAAATCATAGTCGGAGATGTGAGGATATTATTCTCTCATATCAGAGCATACGCTCAGGGTTATGGTCCGGATAACTTCCCCTATCATCCAGTGCCTCCCTTTTCGTCATTTGATTGGCCTTGACAGACTTTATGATATCTCCCACACACCAGACTCAGTATCATGGTGCCTTGCGGAGCCCGGAGATTAATTCAAAATATCCCTGGAAGGTCTCATGGGCGCGACTAGCCGTCCGTCGTGCGCGGGAAAGTCGAACATGGAATATATCGCAGAAGAAGCCGCGACATTCATCGCAGCCCGACCTCTTGATACATGTTCACCATCTGCTGCCTCACCATCTTCGCCAACGGCCAGGACTTGCCCAGCATATTCAAGCCCCCAATGCTCAGTTGAATTCGCGTCTTGAGCGACTCGACCTTTTCAGGGGCGGGCATGACCAGGCATGCGGCCGTGTGCACGATAACACACATTGCCAGGGCACATGTAAAGAAAGGAGTCCGGTACTTGATCGTACTGGGCAAAGTGACGAGATTGGATAACAAATCCGCCGCCCGCAAGAACTTCTGGGAGTGTAGATCCAGGTCCGTAGGTGGCGGGTTGTTGTTGCAGATTCGGAGCCGAGTGCACCATGTGCGAGCGTGGAAAGACGCAAAGCGCATGCTAGAACGGGGATGGTGAAGGTATATCAGTGCGCTAGCGGTTTCAGTTAGCCTTTTGCTTCGGGAAGGGTATCCGAAAAGAGCCTTACAGGTAGTTGATCATCTCTGCTTGGAAGAGCATTTCGTCGATATTTGAGCTGTCGAAAGAGGTGCTATCCTGAGATGAAGGTATTTGCATGAGAGATGAGACAAGGGCAGCGTCAACTGTCTCAACACGGGCTTCAAGATCAATATCCAGTGAACGGTTCACTTCCATGACGAGCCCGAGGTTCTGCGCAGCTTCAATTCGGTAAGTGAAGGAGGAGTTGCATTGGTCTAGAGACCAGCTTTGTTTGAGATCGTTCAGAGTTAGTGTATTTGGCGTGATCTGTCATGTGTCAGTTAATCTCACACATGCTTTGGTAAGCATCATGGGGGAGTTGTACCTCACTTGCGGAGTTATAAAGCTCCTCAGCACAAGGCAGTCGCACGTCTGCCTTATAGGAATATAGACGATACGAGCTTTGATCTCGCATAGCTGCCAATAACCCGTCTACAACATATAGTTCCCAGAACGTCCTCCGCCAGCTTTCAGCAAGAACCGAACTGCCTTCAGAGTTGATGGGAGCGAAACTAGCGCGGTTCATTCCCAGCTCCAGGCTGAGATCAATAGCTAGTTGGACTTTCGAGTGCGCATTCTCCTCTTGGCCATGGGCATGCTCAATGATTGCAAGTAGCAACAGTCCTTGCACTTTGAACCCATCCCGGGTGGTATCAGATAGGACCGTATACGCCACCCGCCGGAATTCCTCTTTGAATCTTACATCAGGGTAGTAATGTGCGCCAATGTAACGCATGATACCTGTGAGATATGGGGGTATTCGGTGCCGAAGAGAAGAATGAAGGACCTTTCTCGGTATCAAGAAAGGATGCGACCGGTGAAAGTTTTGATAATAGAGCTGCACCATTGGATCATAAGCTATCTCAGGGGTCATTGTTGTGAGCGGCTCGGGCTCGGGCCAGGTAGTTGTGGTTGTATCATCCTGGAGGCAAGGAATGTCCCATACTGGGGGCGTTTCAAGTCCATGGAGAAGTGCCGGATCTGCCTGTTCTGGTCAGTACTGCCACCGCTTGACCAATGACCAGATTGGAAGCTCACCTCCAAGTCTGTTGCTAGCGTGGTGGCATTCAGCCAGGTAGCAAAATCGTCTGCAGTCAACATTTGATCGTCGAAGCGCTGGGGGGATTGGTTGCTCGGTTTGGTACGCAATCCTCGCCTCGACCGTACATAATGGCATTCTGCATTGGTGGACTGGCAGCGAGTACAGGCTGGCAGCAGGGCATCGCACTTTAAATGGCGGCGGCGACAGGATACACAAGCCAGGGATGAGGGCTGGCGGGATGACGGCGGCTTGGACGGGGTAGTTGGATCCTGCATTGTATGTGGTCCAGACAGACAACGACGGTCACACAAAGCGGGGAGACAAAGGATTAAGTTGACTCTAGCTCCAGATCATCGACGGGTTCCATTGCTTGTGGTATGTATAAACATCAACTACTACCCTTCACAGTCGTTCGGAAGTGGTTTACCGTACCGAACTATGTGGTTAGTGCGGTGGTCCCCATTCGTCGATCCCGAGATCCCCGAGTCGGCGACCAACCTGTTCGGCGACAAGTTCCACTTCACACTGGATCCCGTCCTTCATATAGTGTTCGCGTTCGCTGCTCTCCCTTGCATCCAGTTGATTTGACCCTGACTCGTGTCCAGGCTGCGAGATGTGCAGGAGTGAGAGTCCCCGGACGGGGAATTACGTCACCGCCGCGATCCCGCATCTCACATATACAATAGCACGGATGTCCCCGACCCAGACTCTGAAACGGATTTCATATCCTTTCGGCTTCCTTCCTCCGCAATTTGTCGGCATCTAATATGCATCTGCAAATCCTTCCACTCCCCGACCTTCTTGGCCTCGTCACATGTTCTGGATCTTGTGCTGACTCGGGCCGGATCCCGCTGTCGCAATCGGATAACCTTCGACCCTTCGAGAGCTCACGTGAGGGGGCGTTGCCGACTTGATGAAGAGTCACGACTTGGACGATCGTGGGAACGGAACTGGGGACGGGAGGCACGTGAGCCGGCACCCGACGTTGCAGAGAGGACCGAGTCCATCCGATAGCAGAGCCAGGATATTGGGCTGTCAATTCCCACCCGCAGGAAAATAACAACCCGAGGGATACACTGCAGGATGCATCCATGCATGGTAAGCACTGAAGAATCACCATTCAAGCCCAGCCAAAAAGGCTATTCTGCGGTGTTTGGGTCAAATCACGACGCATCCACACCAGGAATGATCGGGATTTGCTTTATGCACGCAAAGAGTGGTTCCAACTAGTGGAAAGGGGCGAACCGTCCGTGCGAGAAGTGATGACGGTGCAATCATTTCTGCAGGGTACATCTGAGAAGTTGACAGACAAATTAAGCCACGCCACATTGAGCTCGGTGACGCATGCTAAACGCCGTCCACTCGGTCGGCGACCTTTAACCACTGCTCCGGGTTTCAATATGATTCCAATCAGCATTGTCAGATAACAGGGGGTGGCATGATGACAATTTGTCCTCCACTTTCGCTTGGGATTTGGGGGTGGGGGCAAAAGTGGATGGATCGCCCCGGAGGCTGAGAAGTGTTCTGTGATAGGCGAAGACGCGTTCCCGACTTTGGTCCCCGAATAAATGCCAAGTCAGATCCACTCGTTTCACTTCGGACACGAACCTCATCCCCACCAGTACTAGGCCTGGAACGGTTAACACTCGTCAATCCATGTCTGAAGTCTGAAGTCTCGACTCTATTGCTCCTTTTGCGTGGCTCGCAAATTAAGGACGGCATTCATCAGGACCAACGGAGCGTACGCGAACACTGTAAACGAAACCAATTGGCCTGATCGTGATCCTTGGACTTGGGTACATGCCCCAGAGCCGACGGCATCACCCGCGTGATCGCTGTTGCCTAGGTCGAATCGTGGCTAAGAAAAACCTTTGCAAAAGACCGTCTCGGGCACAAGTATCAACAAAGCCGACCACACATTGTCACAGACTCAATGGAGCTCGCTGCCGGTTTTTTGAGCAACCACGAATCATGGATGTACTCTCCCGGAATGCACGCAGAAGCCCTAGGGTCACTCAGCCCCATGTACCAGCCATTGAGGAGAACAACCGCGTTCACATGCTCACATCTCACCATCTTCTAGACCTTAGACGCCGTCACACATACGGTCGCCCGATGCTCTTAGCCCGGGTGGGACGCCCTGAGAACCTTCTGCGGCGACGCATCTGCTATAGAGTTGTACACACTTACCACACAAAGAAACGAGTCGCCATCCTTGTATACTTGAAGGTGGTCTCGAACGATAGTGTAGGTGACACAGTTATGATTCTTTGTCCGCATCGGTTGGACAAGTCGAGCTTCAGTGTAATTCGTGCCCCGGCGATAGCCGGCGCGGATACAGTGATCTGCGAATAAGATTGCCGTTGTTTTTTTGCTAATGAGCTACGAAGGCGGTTCTGATGGCCCAACTAAGCACAGGTTCATGCCGTTCTCCATCTTTGTGACACTTGCTGGAGATCCACTTTCTATAACAAGGGAAAGGGAGCAAGCAATTACCACGGCGGATAAACAGATCAGAATCCTTCCTAGATCCGCTGTATGGGCTCTGAGTAAACATAGAGCTATAAATCAAGATTAGTTATCAGTGTTCCGGGGGGCATCGACTAAATGGCTTCTCGTGGATATGTGTACATCATTTTAGAACCATGCTGGTTCCTACCTACATCTGAGGTAACAGAGACCACTAATTGACACTGATTCATTCATGACCAATGGTCAATGCTCCACTTGTGCCACACTTGAATACCATCGTGAATCTGGCTCATCATGACTTTCAATGAAAGATTACCTCAAACTATGCGGTAGGACTTTATGAACCAGCAAGAGTTAGTAAATGGAAACCATTCCTTGAGAGACAGGTTTGTGGAGCCTACCGCATTGCCCTGCTCTCAAGCCTATCCTCGATGGTAATCCGAAGGCGCTTGAATCCGGATGTCTTGTGTATCCTCATCAACCAGGAGAAGGTCAGATTGTGCGTCTATGATGTTCCTTATGACGCGGGCAAAAAAGACACAATATTAAGGGAAACGGCCATCCCCGAAGTGGATTATAGACCCTTCTTTTTTGAAGTCCGTAGTGCTTAACCTTCATGATATACAAGCTCAGAAACCAAGGGTAAGAAGACGAGGAGGTGGGTTGGATTAAGAGTAGTATCATAGAAATCCTCTCAATATAACCCTGACCAGGCAACTGCGGTCAACATTACATTATTTTACCAATCGTCCATGCATTAATGCATCCAGCTTTCCCAGTTGCGATGCCACAAATCATAACAACTATCCCCGCCCAGGTACATCTACTCCTGGAGTCCAAAACGGCAGAGAAGGCTCACATGGCCTGGAAGTTCCCCTGGTGCATCAACTACATAGACAGAAACATGCTTCAGCAAATTCAGTGTTGCCTCGAACAGACCCAGCGGTTTCCAGTGGTGTACGCTTGGTCTAGAAACTTAGTTACTCGCATGGCATCGAGGAAGAGGCTTGTATCAAAAGACTTGTGAAAGGCACTGATACTTAAACTATGGTAAAGGAGTGCGAGTGAGCCGCCACTCAGAAGGAACTGCGCGCCTGGGAATCCTGCGCCTGTGGTCATAGTGGACGTAGCTGAGAACGGTGGTGTCGATATCGTTTGGATCCAGACGGCCATCGTGAAGCGATCACTCTGCCTAGTCAGTACAGAATGCATGATTTCAATGAGATTGCTACTCATTGTAGTTCTGCAGTTGGGCGCGGAGCCCTAAGTTAAAGAGAAGGTGCCTGAGTTTGGGTGCGTGTTGAGTATTGACCGCTGACACCCGCATCCATTATCAAAAGGCTGAGCGATAGAAATATGACCACGGCATTTCAGTTGGGGAAACCAATGATCGCACCGGGAGGTTGATTTAGGGAAAGAGATCTGTATTGTCTACTATGTGGGGTGAAGTATGTGGGGTGGTCCAAGCGTTATATAGGCCCAAGGATGGTGACACCGCATAATAACAAATCACATCACTCCGCGTCAGAACAGGGTCATGGAAAACTCCCACCATGGCGCTCCTCACAGTTGGAATATTCAGCGCGTCAGTCGCGTATCTAATCTTCTACCTCGCCACTACAGCCCTTGCTCCAAGGAGAGCACCGAAGGGGCTACGTGATGTTCCGGTCGCCGGCACTGCAGCTCAAATGGGCGCCTACCCGCAAAGGCAGCTCCGAAAATGGGCCTCTGAACACGGCGAGCTCTTCAAGGTGCGCCTAGGACTGGAGGAGTGGATCTACGTGAACAGCCCAGCGGCCGTCAAGGAGATTTTCGACAAGCAATCGCAGCACTCCTCCTCGCGTGCCCCGAGCCCAGTCGTGTCGGATCTTCTATCTGGGGGCATGAGGTGAGGAGAATACCAGATAATAGTTCGGCTTTTTCTGTTTGCTCATCTCGGGGACAGATTCCTGCTGATGCCGTACTCTCCCAACTGGAGGAAGCTGCGGGCAATCGTCCACAAGCTGCTCACCCCGAAATCATCGAATACTTTCATGCCGTCCCAGGAATTCGAAGCCAAGCAGCTGCTGTGGGATATATTGACCGACAATGAAAACCAGGAGAGTTTCTACATGCATATTCGTAGATATACCACGTCGGGTCAGTTATTCCCGAGAGCGGTCTTGCTATTCCTAGCCCTGCTAATGCAACAAGGAGATCCAGTGGTAATGACTTCCACCTACGGACGACGAGTGCCTGCTTGGGTAAGACTCATTGGTTCCATCGGTTCTATGTCGCGTATATTAACGGCTCTTTCAGGATTGCGAAGACATCCGCAAGATATACGGACTAATGCAGGAATTCAGCGAGGCTGCAGCACCGGGAAAGTACATTGCCGAGACGTTTCCAGTCCTGAACAAACTCCCAGCGCAGATGCAATTGTGGAGGAAGGCAGCCCTACAATCTTTCCACCGCCAGGCGGCGATCTGGATGAAATACTGGACCCGACTCAAGACGCAAATGGACTTGAATCAAGCCCCGGAGTGCTTTGTCAAACAGTTCATTGAGACGGATTATGAGAAGAACGATATTAGTGAGCTCCAAGCAAGCTTTGTCGCGGGCAGTACGTTGCGGATCCGTATTCTGTAGAGAAATAATGTCGAAGCTAACACTATTTTCAGCGATGATTGAAGCCGGATCAGAGACCACGTCCTCCGCGCTCAATTCCTGCATTAAGTATTTTGCCGCCTATCCTGAGGCCCAGGCAAAGGCATACAATGAAGTGTGCCGAGTGGTTGGCGAGAATCGTCTCCCTACTTTTGAGGATGAGCGAGATCTGCCATATATCAGAGCTTGCGTTAAGGAGATTCTTCGAATTCGACCTGTGACAAAGTAAAGTTTCCCAAATCAACCATGCATCCTCTGTACCCTAACCTAGAGGTCAGTATCGGAAGCCCGCATTATACCACCGCAGACATTGTGTAGAGGGACTACTTCATCCCCGCAAACTCCGTCGTCTCCATAAATCACTACGCGCTCCACTTCGACCCAGAACGCTACACCGATCCAGATGATTTCATTCCAGACCGCTATCTCAACCATCCTCTCAAAGCCGGGGCTTACGCCGCGCATCCTGATCCGTACGCGCGCGACCATTTCGACTTTGGAGCCGGCCGACGAATTTGTCCGGGGATGCATCTAGCCGAGAATAGCCTCTTCATTACAATCGCTTGCATAATATGGGCATTCAACATCCTGCCACCGCTGGAGAATGAGAAGGTTGGCATAGTGGATGTTTCTGATGCGGCCTACGAGGCGGGAGCGAATACTCTTCCGAAACCGAGCAAGTTGCGGTTTGTTCCGCGGAGCTCGACTGTAGAAACAACTCTACGAACCGAATGGCAGAAAGCTAAGGTAGAAGGCTATATGCTGGGACAGACGAGAGTAGATGCGGAAGGGATGGTTGTTGACAGCAACTGAGCAATAAATCATAATGTGGGGAAGGGAGGATTCATGCCAGGGGTTTCCCAGGAGCAGTACTCTAAAATATGCATAATATATCAATCAAATTAGGGACAAGAAGTAGTTGCTGGACAGTTTCCTTATAAGCCTCTTCCCAGAAGTAGCAGACGCCTCGCCCAACAATCGTTGGCTTTGTGCGGAATGCCCTTCGGAAGTAGGGTGGAAGTACTGATGGGCGCCAGATTTTCCAGTTTGAGTGTGTTGGTCTGTGGATGTGTTGTTATGGTTTTGATGTGTGGTACAGAGATAATATGTCTGCTAGTACTGTTCCCCACAGTCAAGGTGGATGGACACCCCACTTTGCATACCCGAAGAAAATGTGTTTGTAGGCAGTTGAGGATCACGATTGCTGACATACGGCAAGCTGTATCCCCTCGAGAAGAGTATACAAGGTATCAAGGAATTCTCAGGCTTAGCCCACCGAGAATTCCCAGTGTCTATGACCGCATGTCGTGCCTCCCGGTATGTTGTCTATAAATCAAAATTATCTTCACCATGCGTCTCCTCAACTTGAGAGCGAACCCGTCACGTGTGAAGCATTCGAGTGCCAAAGACCATTTCTGGATGCAAATCAATCGCATAGCCAGCCACAGCCGCCTTCATGGCCATCACCACCAGATGCCACAACGGCTCAAACATCAAACTCAAAGGGCCTAGCATCCTCCACTCTTCCTGACTGCCGCACGGACGTCTACTTGCTGTTGTGCTTCAGACTACCAGATTGTGGGACTTCCATGTGGGGTAAAATCCACCCTGGTATCAACCCCCACTCTGTATGGGCCGGTCGAATTGAAACCACTCACTTAGAGGGAACTCGGTTGTGGGGGATTTCCGTTGGAATCTGGGGATCCTTGCAACTAGGATACCAACATCCTACGCCCCGCACAAAGTGAAGGCAGCAGAGGCTACAGTATTCGCTCCTTGGTCCCAATGTCTATCCCATTCGTCCTGATTGTGGGCGCTGGCCCTAGCGGTCTGCTCCTTGCACTCCTGCCAGGTAAAAAAGGAATCCCCGTGCGGCTTCTGGAAGCCGCAGACTCCCTTGATGACCGTCCTCGCGCTGCCCATTATTCCCCGCCTGCTGTGTACGAGCTGCGCCGTGCGGGAATCATGGAAGATATGGAAGCAGCGGGATCGTTCCGGCCGAATGGAGCGTGCTGGAGGAAGCTGACTGGAGAGTTTCTGGCGGCTGTCTCTGCTTCTGGAGCAGAAGATGGAAATCAGACGCCGTTGACCTGCCTTCCGCTAAACAAGCTGAACGTGGTCCTTCAGCGACATATCGACCAACTACCCCATGTGGAGATCTTGCATTGTCACAGAGTCACTGGGCTAGGCCAGGATGATGCCAAGGCATGGGTAAACGTTGAAACCCCGAGCGGCCTGCAAACATTGGAAGCGCAATACATCGTTGGGTGCGACGGCGCAAACAGCCAAATTCGTCGCTCTTTATTTGGGGATAGGGAATTCCCCGGGTTTACCTGGGATAAGCAGATCGTTGCCACCAATGTGTGTCTCAATCGACTGTGCATCGCTATCGAAAGAGCAGACGGCTAATAGACCTTCCTCTTTTTTCCAGACGTACTATCCCTTCGAGAAGCACGGGTTTGATTGGGATTCCAATTTTATCATCCATCCGGAGCACTGGTACATGGCAGCTAGGATCTCCAATGACGGACTCTGGCGCGTCTCCTACGGCGAGGTGGCGGGCCTCAGCTTCGACGAGCTGAAGGCTAGACAGCCAGAGAAATTCAAGGCCTTCTTACCGGGTAATCCTGACCCTGGTGATTACAAGGTTGTCAATTTTAGTCCTTATAAAGTCCATCAGCGTCTTGTTAAGAAAATGAGGCTCGGCCGGTTCCTCTTAGCTGCCGATGCGGCGCACTGTAAGTCTATCCCGTCTAGACAGATAAGTTATTCGCCTTGGCATCTAAGAACATGTACCTTTCTCCTACAGTATGCAACCCCTTCGGCGGTCTAGGATTGACGGGGGGAATCGTGGATGTGGGAGGTCTCTACGACTGTCTAGCAGGTATATATACTGGACAAGCCGATGACAGCATCCTCGACATTTACTGCAATGTCCGGCGTTCGAAGTATAACGATATCATAAACCCGGTTTCGACCAGTAACATCTGTCTTCTGTTTGAACAGGATCCGGAGACAGCGCTCGAGGATAGCGAATTTCTGAAAATGTGCAAGAAGGCCCAGACGGATGATGCAGTTGCTGCTTTACAGAGGAAGGGGCTGGAGGCTCTGCAGTATGATTTTACGCAGCATTACCGGAAATGACAATTTGCAGCTCAGTTTTACATGAAGCCGATAATAGTGTACCCTGCGGGGTGGCATTGCCTGTTTTACTTGTTTAATACTCTAAATACAGCCCTTGCCTGTAATAAGTGCCTGCAGGCATCTGGCTTCCCCCACTTTGGCTCCCCACAAAGGGAAGCCCACATAGACTAGACATAAAATGTCAACGCTGGTTCATTTTCTCCGAATGATTACCCCAAGTGTACTTATAGAAGTGGCTCAGTAGAAGGTTATTTGCTATATATAGGTCTCAGTTAAGGATGCGATTTGCATAGCATTTCAACTCATTCATTTCTCATGAAGGCTAGTATCTAACGGCAAACTACCAAGTGCCAATACTAATTTGTCGATATTCGTCCTACTTTAGATTGATGCATAAGACACGTAGCATTCTTCATAACACGCTAATCACAGAGCTGGGACTCAAGAAAGTAGATTTGGAAGGAATATCTTTCCTGTTGTGGCATCTTTCATACGTTGTGAAATATGGCGTGTGACCGATGTACGACCACGAATGATAGATCGAAAGCAGAGGTACAAGATGGAGAAAGCAGAAAGATCCCCCCTAAATGAGATATAGGTATTAGGATTGAAAGGCTATGCGAAGCCCTTCTGTCCGCTTTCTAACATACCGTTGGAGGCAATCTACACATCGCAGTACCAAGCGTCACGTAGAAGCCCTTTGTATCTACCATGAGACTTGCTGCAGATCGTCAGGAACCTTCCAGCCATGTAATTGACACACTCTCGTATATGCCGCCACAGCCTCGCCGACAGCATAGTCCTGCGTACGCCGTTGATCGAGACGAGCCGGTACTGGGTCTGTGCTGGTGAGAGCCATGCGAACTTGCAGCAAGACACTTTCAATACTGGACACAGGAGACCAGCCTGAGCTCGTCAGTAGCTCCATACACATTGCCCCGCCAGCCGTAACATGGCCTCCACCTCCCTGGCTAAACGGCAGGAATCGTGGGCGAATAATGCGCACAAACGGGGGTGACATTGGAAATTGAGGCGGAAACCGCAATTCCATGACAATGGATGTCAAACCCGCCACCTCCAGATCCTGGGATAACGGCAGGGACGATTCGAAGCTGTGTAGTTGCACAATCCACTGGTAAACGTTGTTCACGAGATTTGGATCAATATACCAGCCCAGGGCAGACAAAGGCTCCCGTTCTTGCACTTTCAATGTGGCCTGGAGATGCCTTTGAAGAGATTTGGTAGCCATCGTTGTAGCATATTTCGGCGGGCCAAGTAGCTGCAGAGTCGATTCCTCCAGCCTTCCGGGTCGAAAATCAGTTTTGGACAAATCATGGAAAACCTCTTTCGCTGCCTCGTAGTTGGTATCGGTGCTCCCAACACCGTCTGTCTCCAGCAGCCAGTCATCGTCAGTGAATGTGACGACACTGTCGAGGTCATCATCAGCCATGGGCATCACATCATGTGAAACCTGCCCTTCACGTGTATTTCTCGGGGTCGTTTCCGTATGCTGGTGGCTCCAATGACTGCTGACAGCAGAGATAGGGAGAGTCAGGGCCCTACCGGTGGGGCCAGAGGCCTCATAAGAAGGGTCCTGGGTATATGTCATTGATGGTTCCAATCTCGTGTCGCCCATGATCAGAGAAGCACTTCTATGCCCAACAATGAGGTACCTGGGCTGAATCCAGTCCAGTTTGTCTACCACGTAGTGTTCGCCGTTGAACACGAATTGCTCGGGAGCGTTGACTATTTCATTTAGCGAGAGCGCTCGGTCGATATTCAAAGTGCTATTGGGCCACGCTTTGTTCAGATGGTGGGAACTTGCATATGACAGTGAATATCCAAAGTGCCGCGACATATAAACCCCATCTCCCCTGCTACGGCCATGCGCGATTGTTCTGAAGTGGAACCCTTCGCGTAAGATGCTATGCCAGTTGGACAGAGGACTGCCATGCCAAGCGAATAGTGTGGGGTACTCTGGATTATGCGAGGAAGAAAGTGACTTCACGGCGCTAACAAAACGCTGCTCCTTATCCGGTGCTCCTTGCGCGAGCCTAAACTGGGCATGTCCATTCAAATGAGGTATTTGGTGTTCAGGATCGTCCTCATACCTGATACATGACCTGTTTGATGCAACAATCCACCTAAGGACATAAAGAGCAGCTGGAGATATTCTATCGCACCACGACGCCAATGCCCTCTTAGAACTGCCGTTAGAGTGGCTCGAAATAAAAGATCGCATTGAGTTAACGTTGGGAAGCGTATCCAGAAGCATTATTATGGATTCACATTTTGCACTGTCCGGTAAGTCGTCGAAGCAGCCGTTGTACCGCATGAATTGTACTGCGCCGCTGCCTTCTAACTTAACACCCTGTCCATCTGGTGTCCATCTGATAACTGGAGGCGATAGACGAATGGCAGACGGGAAATCGGCGTCTTGTACGCGACAATGCCACTGGGGCCGGCCATGGCGAATATGTGCGCCCGAGGGCACAATCAGAATCCAATCACCAACTCTTAAATCTGGCGTATCACGGGCATCCAGTACCATTGTAGATTGGTTGAGTTGACCATGGTAAACCAGCTGAGTTTGTGTATTGGCAGAATAAGGGACATTCATCCCAATGCCCGTAGGGAAGTCTTCCAGGTAGCCAGCCATTGCTCGAGCATAGGTAAAACTGACAAGCATATCGACGACGTACGGCTGGGATATTATCTCCCACTCGAGACTGGGCCCCATACCAAGTCTCATGTACTGGTACAGACACAAGCTATTTGAGCAGACGTAGGGCATAAGTGCCTCGAAGCCCGCTTCGACCTTGCAAAAACAATTGAGGCAGAACTCGGTGCACTTAACAAATCTCCGAAGGGTGAATTGGATTGCAGATAGAGGAAGTGATAGTGGAGTTCTTCCTTCACAGATATGGTCTGCTCGCAGGAACCGTGGAGTCGCGGCATTCCAAGAATCCGGAACAAAGTACACTCCTCGTGTTACCTCTTTAGAATCCGGGCTTGTACTTTGACTGTTTTTCAGGAATAGCTCGGACCCCGTCCATGTAAAGCCATGTTGAAGACGATATCGCACTAAGGCTATGAAATGTGTATTGAGGAGTGTATCCAGTGAGTCACCAATGAAGAAGGACTGCAACTCTGGTTCCACCTTCTTGGTATTTCCTGGGGTTTCAGCGTCTGTCGAAAGAAAAGCTTGCAGAGCAGAAGTCGAGCTAGGCTTGTATGAATCGCAAAGACCAACGTGCATCAGGATCCGCGGTGTCTTGGGTCCGGATTTCTCAATCACTTCGTCAAGGTTGCAGTATCCTAAGGGATACCGCAGCAGCAGCACTAGATACTGCGAAGGGCGGACATTCCAGGCCTGCATGGCAACTTTGGAGATACCAAGCTTTCCTATCCGGCAGGAAACCGAGACAATGAGACATTCAGTTAATTCTCCAAGGAAGCCAACTCGATACCCAGCCTTTTTTACAGTGCCCATGTCTGAGCGTATTTGCTTCATCACCTTGGCTTTGTCCGTCGGCGGCGTAAATTGGGCGTCGGAGTCAACGTCGAAGTCCATGTCGTCGTCACCGGAGAAGATCTCACTTTCAGAAGGATCCTCATGGAAGGAATCCAGGGAAGAACCTACCCCCAGCAGAGTATTATCTATGCTGTTGCTGATGCATTCGAGAAACGGCCCAATTGCTAACCTCGCAACGGTCGGTTGCAATCGTTCGATAGCCTTAGATACATCATCGGGAACATTATCGCTCGCTGCAAATGTAAAATATGTATGATGACCAGGATAGTCATGAGTGTCTGCCATATACTAATTAGTGGCAGTTGATGGATTGCCAAGAAGAGTAAAAGCTCATACCTAATACTGATGTCTGAAAATCAAACGTCTCATTGCTAAAAGGTACCATGTAGGTGTACAGGACTGAGCCATGTTCGTCGCCCGCCCTAACCCCTTCCAGACGGGGAAATCGCCCTGGTACTGAGGCTTGAATGAGATCCCGCTGGAACTCCTTGCGAGGCATGGTTAACCGAGTGACGCTGCGGGGCAGGCACTAATGCCGCCAAACGAGGGTGTGGAAACTTGAAATAACAGAGTCACTGCGGGTTTGGTTCAATAAAGAGAAGTAGATGAGGAGGTGACGACAGCAAGAAAATACGGAAGTAATGGGGAAGACTTACGTAGGGGTGAGGCTGGTAGGGATAGGAATCTAGATAAAGCAATAAGGCCCCAAACACGGAAGCCACGGGCTTTTGTTGCCTGGCTACAGCCTTGCGGTGTCCGAAGTGACTTGTCATGTCCTGGTGGCAAGTGCTGTGTATACCATGCGCGATCAGCCACTAGGAATATTCGCTAAGCTATATCCTTCCAGATTACTACATTATGAGCAGCTGGTGACCATGTGGGAAGTAATATTGACGTTGCTACGACTGATTGAGTACATACAGAAGAAACACTAACGAGGTACCGAACTTAGTTCACAACATAATGTGACTAAGCGGTATAATCACCGCACAAATCAGGCGTGCATAAATCACGAGCTCCGCAACATTTCTCCGTCCCGGATCGGCAACCCAATGTGATTACAAACTTCATTCACTACCAACAGCTCACTACTCTATACTCCGGCTTCCTGCGGCCCATGCCTGGGAAACTAAATTACGAGATAACTACCGAGCAACGTGCACTGAAAGGCAATACGGCTGGGAAAACCTCCGTGCGTGGGCTTGTTGCCTACTAGCCGTAATTCTACGTTGGCCCCGCCTGTATACATGGACGTATTCGATATGTACACAAGTAATACCCAGCTACCGCTAAAGCGTAGGCGGGTTGTCACTTCATGTTCCGAATGCCATCGCAGGAAACAAAAAGTATACCAACGACTGCTACGCAGTACCATATAACTTAGCTTTACTAATACCCGTCAGTGTGATCGCAAGTCCCCGTGTAACAATTGCTTAGCGCGCAATGTCGCAAGGAAATGTTTCTACAACGCGCTTCAAAGGTATGTGCTCTTCCGCCAATGGCTAATGTAGCCTTCTAATACCGTGGGTAGTTCTGGCCAGATAGCCGAACCATCAGAAGTCTTGGGGCCAGAGGACGGCCAGAATCATGCGCCGGTGGTTCCAGCTGGTAATGTTCACAGCTCGGGAGATCTCGGCTACTCCTTGATTACTGGGAGCAACGCTTTTGTGGGATTGAAAGACGTCCGTCTTCAAGTGATGACACCCAATAGTTGTGCGTTGTCGCTAATAAAGGACAGGTGCTCCAAGACGAAGACGAGTTTCGGCAAATTACATCCGCTCATAACCGTCCGTTTCGTTCAAGTGTTTTGAAAACACATGCCCACACACTGATATCACACCTACCTTCAAAACCAGTACTGCAACGGCTCGTTAAAGTATTCTTCGAGGAGGTCAACTGGCATTACTTTATACTCGAAAGGTTCTATTTTGATGACCTCTTCTCACGCTGGCAAACCACCGAAATGCGCCCCGTTGAGTATCTGCATAACCAAGAGCTATCTATTGAGCTACAGTACTTCCCAGCTCTTCTATTTCAGGTGGTCGCCCTCTCACTTCAATTTCTACCACCTGACGCGCTCGCTCTGCCCCAACTCTCATCGAAAGAGCTTTGCTCATCATACAGGTACAGCGAATTGGGCGATGAACTTGTAACAATATTGGGTAGACATGGTGTAACGCTCACTGCGGTCTTAGCAGACTTCCTGCGGGCATCCTGGCTCAAGAATTTTGGAAGGGGTATTGAAGCATGGCATAGTGCAGCGAATGCCATCAGGTGAGTCTGATTCGCAACTCCGTATTGCCGGATTGGTAACTGATTGTCGATGGGATTAAGGCAAGCGCAGGAGCTCGGTTTGCACCGGCAACGCGACATTCACCAATCAAGCCTGAACAGTATCGAACAAACATTAAGCATGATATGGTATGATGATTTCAAAAAGCGTGTTTGGATTAACTTGTTTGTATGGGATAGGTAAGAAAGACCGCAGGACGAATGGTACGTTGCTAATTAATAAATGTCAAGTCTAATGGCTATGATACTTGGCCGCCCACGAATCATCCACCCGGACGACTGCAATATGAAACCGCCAATCGACTGTAACATCCCCAAGGATCCCTCGAAGACAGTTCCAATGACGGTACAGCCCGGTGAACCTCCAAATGGGCCTACTACAGTTTCTGCAGGCTTATTTCGGTACGACTTGGCGTGCAAGTTTCATGAGTTGAGGGCTCTAAAAGCAGATAGGCCCCATTTAAAGGACCATACTATCATCAAAGGTCTACACGAACAGGTGATATCGTTGTTAGAAAATGTGCCGCCATATCTTAGATTTAAGAATCCCGATCCTTCCTGGGACAGAGAGTACCCTTTCCTGCCCCAGCTTCGTGAGGAGGTTTTCATGACAGCGAACCTGTTTTTGATGACGTTGCACCGACCGCACATCCTTGCTAGTGCAGAAAGCCGAAAGGCTGCATTGGAAGCGGCACTGGCCACGTTAGAATCACAACAGCGATTCTTCGGGCAAACCAGTGAACATCACTACCCCTTGTTTGGGCTCGCATTCTACACTATCGACGCGTCTATTCTACTATCCATCATCGTAGCATCGTACCCGCCGCATAGTCACGAACCGAGACAGTACGTCTACCATGTTCTCCAGCAAGCAATCGAGCGACTATCCCATATACAACCTTACAATCCAATAGCCAGGGCAGGACTCGGTATTGTGCAGCGATGTTATGAAAAGTTGAAGGAAGCCTGTCACTCCCCTGCCATGACCTCCGGAACGTCATCATCATCGGCTGTGTCTCCTCGGTTTGAGCTACAGGATCTCCGCCAAGAATTGAGGCATCAGAATAGTGTGCCAGCAGAGCTAGATCAATTAGCACCTGAGCTTTCTGTGATACCCGATAGCTTTGGCGAGGCATACTGGCTTGACCAGCTGAGCCTCATCCAACCGCCGCCCACCGTTGGGCAGGAGCCCGACTTGTTTTGGGATTCCTTATTATTCGAACGTGATGTGGTTTAGTGAAGGTATACCCGTGTGAACTCTATATTTTTGCAATGTAAGATTTTCATTCTGGTGTGGGATTTGAAATGGCCTACAGAGCATTTAGGTCTCGAAGCAGGTCATCATCGACAGCTACAACTGTAAGCTGGGCATAAAAAAGGCATACCTGGCGCTTCATGAAAGCTTCTTCCATAGTGGTCCTAGATTTAACATTTTACCGAGGAGATAGAGTGTTGATTATAGCCCACACCTGATTTCAATAATGACTCAGAAAGGACCGCTGCAACAACACCTCGTAGAATTTCAAATCTTAGATACATAAGAATGACTCCTAACAGCTGTGGCTACCCTCCTGCTCCGTACTCTTGCATCCACTACTGCAGAGCTTTGGATGGCCGACAATGCCAGGATTCGTGCAATGGAAAAGAATGTTATTCAGGTCTTCCGTCTCAAATTCCGTTCCCTTCAGTGCGGTCTTGAGATCATCTTCCGTGAATCCTAATCCACATTAGTGCCCCATGATCGATATCCATAAGCATTCGTCTCAACTTACCTTTCTTGCTAATGAGCTCAGCGGAGCAGTAGTCGAAGCTTGGCGTGCATACTTTGTCTGCAACTGCAACAGTGACCAGGGAGAAGAGCGCGAAGATAACGGAGGATGGCTTCATTTTGATAGAGTCAAAGAGGTGTGATCATAAGAATGATTTTTATCTAGATCTGAGGTAGTGTTATTTCGAGATAGTAGTGAACAAACTCGAGTCTATTAGATGTATTTATAGGAGAACTAGCTGATCTGCATTCCTCGTAAACAGACGTGGAATGTTGGGATCGGACTCAACGTCATGGTATGTGTGGCATTGCCAGTGGTGGGCGTTCTTGAAGAATGCTGTAAATAGCGCATTGATTCCTTTGTTTTCTTACAATATAGACGATAACCAACTCGATCTCAACGAGATAGAAGACTTTCTTTGATGTGCATTATCTGCGTGAGCACAAAAGCAAACAGCCTCTTTTTTTTTTTCTTTCTCTTTCGACACTTCGCGGTCTCTCTTTGACAATCTCGGCCCCGTCTTTCACGCGTGACTCTTACATACCAGACACCCCAGCATTCTTCCTCGGAGCTGACACTGGGAGCAAGTCCTCTGCCACATTTTACATTTTGACCATTTCCATACAAAGTAATGGGTAGGTTCTTCCAGGCTTATTCTCCAGAAGCGAAGATTGCTTTGTGAGTCTTTTATGATCTAAGCATATGTATACAGCCCATGGTTATTGTCCGCATGTTTCACACGTATCGAGCGATTTACCACTGGAAAGCCTTTACGTCCATAATATCGCCACGTTGAAAGTATGCTCGACTAATCTTGTCTCTTGTAAAGCCAAAGTCGGCTTGCCCGTGAGGGCCTTACAGGTCTGCCATTTGCTTATTCAATCGTCGTGAATGAGGTTAGTATATATATGTACGAGGTGAATGGCCTTTTTCTTTTGAATTCGACATGTATCACGAGTTTGGTAAGATCTTTTAATATATAGATCTATCCCAAGTGGGGTTGTTTGTCAATACACCCCTGGTTATTATGGTTATTGTAGTTTCTTTCTTCCCTTGGGTGATACAGTTCACAATGTCACAATCTCATCTAACCCCACGATCGAGGGAGGTATACATACTAGTAGCCAGATAGGCAAGAACCCAATTGATATAAAAGTACCCTAGAAAAGCCAACACAAAGAATAAGAGAATAGAAAAACTAGAATACCTCACTAACTTTACTATATAGATGTAGGGTGACTGGAACACATCCCAGCTACTATACCTGGATAATCATGTTGGTGTGATGAATATAAAATTTGTACAGTTTCGGAATTCAATCCCGAGAAGAGTCAGTAGTCTTCTGAAAGTTCTCCGTATTATAAAGTCCTTGTATATACTTGATGTCAAGCGGTCCCATGCTTGGTGATAAGGCAACTTCACCTGCGAGAAGGTGCGGGATTTAATAATTCATCATGCATCCAATAAACAGTCATATCCATAGAAATAATTATGAGTAATTCTATCCTTCTACCTGCAGACGCAAGTCAAATCATTCTCGCATATCCACTATGGTATACCCTCTTCATCCGCCTCACCTCATCCTTCCTACTCCTATGATGGGAGGAACCACGGCCCACAAGATGCCGGGTGGACAGCGTGCAAAGGAGCCAGATCAATGCTTATGGCCTGCGGGCTGACGACCCCTAGCAGGTAGACCTTATGGTTGGCCAACTACAGTGATTGAGACTGGGGTCGCTGAACATCTTTGACGCTTCCAGCAAGATGCTCGTTGGTGGTTCGAGAATTCCTTGGGAGAAACCCGCATTGGCCTGGTCGTATCTATCAATTGAACGTGCCACAGAGTCATAATCCACAAATGGCAACTTGCACCTCCTGGTACTCCATCACCCCTTGCTGGTTTCTTTCGGATAAAATATTCCGTCTAGCTCATAACGCTAATGCTTGGCAGGCTTGTCCAGTTTGCCAAGGTCAACAAGCTTTGCCAATGAAGGCTTGGTCCGGTTACCCGTGGTGAAACACACGCTTGCTCGCTAGCAAATTCAAGGGCTCTCTTGATTTGTGGACCGGGTGAAAACAGCCGACCCAGCTCGGCTGTTGAACGTTGGACCTATTGAGTGTTCCGGAGAAGATATGTCAGGACTGCAAAATCAATCCAATTGCAGGAAGAATCCACTTCGACCGCAATTTATTTGTTACTTAGCGTATGTCAAAGTAAACAAGTGCTTTTCCATGTTCGGGAAAGACCGTCAATCGTCGAGCACTTTCCACACGCTAAAGCACGGAGCCGACGCAATCACCCCCACCACCCCGATATTGACTGCGCACGAGCCAGCAATACGGGTTAGATTGCTTTATGCGTACGAACATGTTCTGGACCGGCTAGGGAATGCCTCAATTTCACTACCTGGCTTCTCGGGGTAGTGACGTTCAGCCCCTCGTAGGATCTGAAACTTCCGTTATCACCCATGAATCGACAGAGATCCACTACGGCTCCTAGGTAAGATTGGTTTAATACAGTGCGATTGTATAAATATGCTTCTCCAGAAATACTCTATCGATGGCCCAGGCACCTTACATTCTTTTACTATCTGTAGTCATTCCTTTACCTAGTGACAGTCATGAAGCGCAGTGCGCTCATTCTTTCGTTCATTCCCCTTGCTTTTGGGTGTGACAACCCAAGTTCTCCCGGTCACAGCTGCGCCTCGATCTACTCGGTTTCTGCTGCGGCAGCTTCCAGCTTCTGTGCCACCTTCACTGCAAGTACAGTGACTGCTACCACTGGAGTACCAGCGGCCTTCCTCAGCAACTGCGACTACAAAACCAAGCATCTGTCTAGCGCATGCAGCTGCCTGGGCACCGCAGCTGCTCCTACTGCTGGGGCTCCGTCTAGCGTGGTAGGTATCTAGTCGGCATCGTTTTAAACTGGTCGCGCTACGGAACTAACTAATGAGGCCAGACCTCGGTCTATGTCACTTCAGCAACTGTTACCCCTACGCCTTCTGCGTTCAAGACAAGCACTGCCCAGATTGTCGAGGAAGCAAAGGCAGTCACATCCTCGACAGCAGTGGTCACTAACCCGGTTTCCTTACCGACAGCCAGTTCATCCTTTACCGGTAACGGTGGAACGACCTGCACTGTAACTGAGTATGCAGCAATCTCGTCCGCTGTTGTGTCTTGCTCCAACATTCTCTTGTCCGACATCTATGCACCCCCTTCCAGCACAATCGATCTCCAAGGCCTGCAGACTGGCGCTGCTGTAATCTTCGCTGGCAAGACTGTGTGTTTCCCGCCCCTTACGCAGCTATCAGATACTGATTCAGAGCACAGACCTTCGGAGACACCGCTGACAGTGACTTTGATCCCATCGTTGTCTCTGGAACCAGCGTTACCATCACTGGTGCTGAGGGCCACGTCATTGACGGCAATGGTGAGGCATACTGGGACGGAGAGGGATCCAACGGTGGCTCGGACAAGTCAGGCTTACACACTACCACATAGAAAAACCAGTCACTGACCTCTTCCAGGCCCGACCACTTTTTCGTTGTGAAGGACATGTACAATTCCCGCATTGAGAACCTCTACATCCAAAACTGGCCGGTCCACTGCTTTGAGATTGAGAGTACCGAGCACCTTACTATCTCCGGCCTGACTCTCAACAACTCCGCCGGCGATGCCGCCAACAGCAAGAGTGATGGAGACCCGGCAGCTCACAACTCCGACGGCTTCGACATCAAGGAAAGCAGCTACTTCACACTGGAGAACACCTGGGTGCACAACCAGGATGACTGTGTAGCTGTGACCAGCGGAACGGATATCGTCGTCGACGGAATGTATTGCTACGGTGGCCACGGGCTCAGCATCGGCTCCATTGGCGGCAAGAGCGACAACACGGTCAACGGAGTCACCTTCTCCAATTCGCAAGTGTTAAGCAGCCAGAACGGCTGCAGAATCAAGACTAACTCGGGTGAGACCGGTGAGGTCTACAACATTCGCTACGAGAACATCACCCTGTCCGACATTAGCGACTACGGGATCGATGTCCAGCAGGACTATCTGAACGGCGGTCCCACCGGTGAGCCCACTAACGGAGTCACCATTGCCAACGTCACCTTTGTGGATGTAACAGGAACGATGAGCGACGGTCAGGATTACTACATTCTCTGCGGAGACGACAGCTGCTCCAACTTTGTCTTCGACGGAGTGGACATCACTGGCGGTAGCGGCGATAGCTGCAATTACCCCTCGAGTGGTTGTCCCTAAGTCAAGACAAGATTTGCTTAAATGTCAAGGTCCAGAAGTGCCCAGTGGAACTGAGACTGGCGGGCTGAGTAGATTTACATATTATTGAAAAAATGAACCTGGAGTTGTGAAAAGTTTGTCTCTTTTTGTACCGGTAAACCATGACCTTGAGACGGCCTTGTGTATTCCCAAACCGTAGGAACTCAATATATACAAGCGCGGAGCAGCCCCATGCGCCATCAGGACAGTAGAACTGTGGGTATAATACACTCGACAACCATGAACATAACATGAAGATGTAGTATTCAACATGACTAACCAATCCTCAACCCAGACCCCTCCGCCTTCAAAGCCAATTCCTTCAAACTCCTCTTCTCCTTCTCAACCCCCTGCCTCCGCTGCGCAACATCACAAACCTCGACATCGCCACACTCACACTCGCCCTCCCTCACCCACCGATAAGTAATACTCCAACGATCCCTGCGCGGCCTCACCTCCCCATCAGACAAGGTATCATTCTTCCTCTTCTTAATCCCATGGGACCAAAACAGCCTCGACTCCCCGGTCATCTGCATCATACACCTCGGCAACAAATCAACATCCACACGGTCCTCTCCGCGCCGAAACTGCATCATGATCGGCGCCCCTAGCGACAGCGCATACAGCTGGTCATACGCCATATGCGCATCTACATGCGGCGGGATGCCGCTGCCGGGCGGGTAATACTGCAGACACACCTGGTCCGGCGGCCGGCTCTCCGTCGTCGGGATCAGCGGCTGCAGCCACTCCGGGAATTCCTTGTAGGGAATGTCCGGGTCAACGCCGAACGTCTTGTAGTCGAACGAGTAGCCATAGTGCAGCGAGATGCGGCCGCTGCGTGACGGCCATTCTAGCTCGTTTTGGAAGATCCTGATCAGCTCCTCCTCGTGCGAGGGGGTTATGAAGTCTTCTTGCCAGAGGATGCCATGCGGTTTTATGGGGAGTTCGTGGAATTGGCTTGTGGAACTGGAGGTCATTCTTGTGTTTTCTTGTTTTTTTTTTTTTTTTATGCTGGTTGTTGGGTTGGGGGAGGATGGCACGTGATGGGGGAAGAGTTTTGTTGTTTGATAAGATAAATTTATCCGCGGAAGAAATCTTGGGGTGTGGGGTCGCTGTCTGTGCTTGAGGTTGTATACTGTCAAGTATATGGAGTAGTTTGAGTGCTATCTGTCTGCCATTATTCCAGAATTGTTAAATCTCAGACTGGTATTATACTGTCTTGTTACAAAGTGAATCATTCATGAGTCTCGTGAACCCGTGATAATAAAACTTTGTCAAATTGGCACGCCATACCACTGCAATATATATCTCCACCAGCCTATTCACCCCCCCATCTACCATATCATGATACAGTACACTACAACCCACTCCCAAATAAAACCCCTAAGCAGCAGCACCCGCCCTAGTCTCAGGAACCCCCCACCAAGCCCCCGCCAAAAGCACCCAAACAGCACCACAAAACCAAACCGCCGCACCACCGGCAACAACACCCCCAGTAAAGGTGTTCACAATCACAGCCACAAGCGCAAACAGCCCCCAGCAGAACCCCATAACAGCGACCCCAAAGCCACGAACCGGGGCTGCGAAGATCTCCACCGTGTATGTTGTCAGAACAGCCAGCCCCGCAAACTGCAGGAAAGAGAGGATGCATTCGAATGCCAACCGGGCGTTTCGTGATCGTGCCAGCGTGGCGAGGAGCATGAAGAGGCCGGTGAGAAGGGCGATTGCGGAGCCGGTGCGTGTGCGGCCGAGGCGCTTGGTTTGGATTAGGATTCCTGCGGCTAGGGGGCCGGGGATTGCGCAGAGGGAGGTGTAGAGGTAGTGGCTGTACAGGTAGTTCGTTGTTACTGTTGTTGGAGTTATGGGGGCGATGTTGTGGGTGGTCGAGAGGTAGCCTGTGAGGGAGGTTTTGTGGAGCGGAAAGTGAGGCCGGTGAGGGTCCAGAGGAGACAGAGGATGAGCAGGCCGGTGGGTCGGAGGGCGAAGATGAGGGAGCGGAGGCGTGGGGTTCGTCGGGATGCGGCGGCGTCGATGGTGGAATCCACCCGGGCGAAGGAGGTCTGGTTGAGCCAGGTGCGGCGTTTACTGTAGGTGGCCATGTCGTTGACTAGTTGGGCTGCTTCGGCGTCGCGGCGCTTGGAGAGGAGGTATTTGGGGGTCTCGCACAAGGGAAAGGCGAACCGACAGAGGTAGAGGAATAGTGTGATGCAGCCAAATGTCCACCATACGTAGCGCCATCCTTTGTTGGAAACGTAGTGGCAGGATGTGCTGCTCTTGGCGGAGCCTTCGTCCCTGGAGGAGTGTGTCGACAGAGCTTGCGATGTACTGACTGCGTCTGGGCCGGTGCCACACGTATACCCTGCGATAAACGCCCTGAACAACGTTAAGGTGATATGATGATTGAAAGTGTGCTTTGGGTGACTCACCATCCAACCGCAGCGGAGACTACCTGGCCCAATCCCCAGAACGCCCCTTGCACGGTGAGCAGGAATTGATGGGAAGCTGGAAGAGACTCGATCAGGATAATGGCGGTGACTAGCTGGTTACCGGCAACGGCAAATCCGACCACGAAGCCGACGACACAGAGACCGGTAAATGAAGGCATGCCGGCACCGACTAGTCCTCCCATGCCCATCAGGATGATCGTGCTGGTGAATATCCACTGACGACCTAGGAAGTCTGACATCCATGGCCAGGCGGTTGCCCCAACAGTCAGGCCTACGGCCAGACTGACGAATAGGTAGGACGATTTATCTCCGGCAAAGAAGAACTGGGCTTCGTTCGAGGCGGACGGGGCGATCACGACGAAGGACATCATCCAGAACTAGATGCAGGTTAATTTTGACGAGAAGAAGTTTCCAGATACATTGCTTACACTGTCAAGAAACCACCCTGCACTGGTAATGATGAAGAGCACCCATTGGTATAAGCCCATTTGCATGTCAACCAGTGCCTGATTCAGCAGCCGTGCTTTGGCAGCGTAGACTGGATTACTGCCGGCCTGGTTTGTGGGAGTGCTAACAGACATGCCATTCGGACTTATGCAGGACTTGCTGGGGTCCGTTCCTTTGCCATGCAGTGACTCTTCCACATCCACGACCAAAGTAGACGCCAATGTGCTCTGAGCCTCGACATTCTTATCGGCGGCCTTACCATCGTTGATGGTATGTGGTATTTCGCCAGCCATGATGGTTCCCAGGCTAAAACTGTTCACCGCTAGCAGAAACACCATGAGAATGACCGACAAGAGAGGGGCAGCAGAGAGTCGACCCCGCTAATATAGGCCGGAGGTCGTGCAGCCCCGAAGGATGCTCGTGACTACACGTACTTACAGACTGGACGATATGCATGTGTAAAGATATTACACGGCTTGGCATGCACTGATACCGCCAGCAGGCCGCGGAGATAGACATGAGTCTGCGTGTGCAACTCGTGAGTCACGGCTCTGACGTTCCGATATCAGATGGAGGCAGTTCTAGCTAGCAAAACCGCACTACATTTCTGAACACATAGATGCCTTTAATTTTCATGATGCTAGATGCTCAAACTGTAGAGGAATGAGTGGCCTTGGCCAGGTCATAGAATCCCTTCAACTACAGTGGGAATACAACTTTGCCGGTTCTTCGGTTATATGAAATATGGCTAGGCTAGTCATAGCCCCTCTTGAAAGTCCTATTGGGTGCAAGTGGAAACTAGTTGTCCCAGAGCATCGGTTATGTCTCGTACAGTTATTGTTCTTCCCTTGTTAACCATCATATGGAGAACTCGTAAGATAAATCGGTTTCTTAAAGCGGGATGATACAATGTAGGTCAAGACTCTCCCTTGCACAGTGGGAAGGCACCATAATAGTAGTCCTGATCGTGTATCTCTTCGTAAAATGAATGGTAATGACTGATATGAACTAGCGAGTCAACTAACCCTAGGCCAATGCCAACCTCGGAGTCGGTCTGAATTACCCTTTGCGGCAATTCAAAGCGGCTACTAACCGGTTGTTGGGCTTGGAATCACCACGCTCCATGTTTAAATTGCGGAGATTAGATAAGCTGATAAGGTCAAGGTATCTTCAAGATCAATCGCGTGATTGACAATTTGCGCTAAACTACTCCGTAATTAGCAGCCAGATATATGGGGAAACAGAGCACAGACCTAGCTACGGACTACGCTGATGTCAATTACTATAAGATAGTCAATGCGCACTGTCACAGCATAGAGTATTGTACTAATTGTCTCTGTTTTCTTGTACATAGTATCTTCTGGTGTTTATTCCAGAATACGAAAAACCTCATTCAGCAAGTACAGATAATCTACAGCCATATCCAAGTTGCACCCCTCTCAAGCATCCCAAACGGCACACACAATATCACCCTCCAAATCCTTCTCTGCTAGGAGCGGCCCAACATCTCCCGTCTTATCATCCCAGCCGGCTACTGCTACGCGATGACTGCTCTGTAACGCAATGGCGATTGCCTGATCCTCCCCTGAGATCTCAAACTGACGGGGAATAGAGCCATACGCCGGGTACAAACCAGTATGCGTAACATCAGTAAAAGACTCTCCGCTGGCATCAGCACAGGAGAATACGGAAATGGTGTCATTGTTGGTGCCAAACTTGTTGTCCTCACGATTGCTAATCACGATATGACTATTGGCAGGCTGTTCCATGACAAGTATTAGCTTATATTCTGTTGATATGTTCAGTTGCAAGGAAGAGACCCACCGAGATGGCGATTTCAGCAGCAGTAGCCCCGTCTGGCAGTTCCGGACCACCATACGTGGTAGTCTCGAAAAACTTGTCAAAGGAGATCGTTCCGTTCTTGGGATACTGAACTTTGTATCCCGTCAAATGGCTGTTGAGCTCCGATGTCAAATAGAATCGTGTATCGATGGCTCTACCTGGACGTGCACCCTTGGGCGTCCAGAATACGCCGTGTCTGGGACCAGAGCCTGGAGACACCGCCAAAGGTGTCTGCGGCTCCAACAAGCCCGTCGAAGGGTTGATGCGGAAAATACGCACGAGGTCAGCTCCCAGATCGGGAACCAAAATGAATTGACCTGTCGGGTCCAGCACTACACCGTGGGGGTGTGGTGCCTCCTGTCGGTCGGGATCTGTACCCGGACCATCTAGCTCATATGTGAAGGTCTGGCGATGGGTAAAGACGCCATTGGCGTTAAGGGCATATGCTGTCACCGATGATCCCGAGCTACACAGGGCGTTAGGCATTAGGGCATAATTCGGGGCACGGTTGCATTTGGGGACTTACTAGTGGGCTACGGCAAAGAAGGTGCGATTTCCCGCAGAATACAGGTGTGATTGAACGGGGCCTAGCACCGTCTCCAAATGATGAATCTTGGACAGCGATCCATCGGAGTCGACTTCGAAGGAAGTCAATGTGCCGTTCGGTCCATTGAGGCCCTCGTCGAGGCAGACCAGGAGGCTTTTGTCGGCATCCAGCATCAGCCAAGAAGGATTGGGGCCGCAGTCAGTCGTGTTCGAGATGGTCGTCAATTCATAACCTGAGTCGGACCTGCCGAACTCCAGTGTGGTAACTGCGCCCGCATATGACGCGGTATAGACCTTAGACGCAGTGGAAGATGCTCCAAATAGAGCGGCGGTAAGATAAAGACCCTTCATTTTGATAATTCCCCTAATTTACAAGTCGACCAACAGGTATGGCAGCAAAAGCTGGTAGATAAAGTGCCTACACAAGAGCCGTGGTTGGGGTTGCTTTTTAAGCTGGCCGCCCACATTACGCGGGGGATCGCCCAGTCGCCGGTAAAAATGCCGGCAGAAATGCCACGTTGGTACAACCTCAACCACACCACCGTCCGGAATGCTGTCCTGCAATTTCGGACTGGCGGATGCTGACTTTCCCGGTGATTTGCCCCAAGGACCGCTCTTGATCACTAGATGATATAATCCTCATTGAAAGTCTCAGACGGCTTGGCTTCATTGGCTATGTTTGGTTGTCTGATTCTGCAGGATGCGAAATATAGTGCTTGGCTGCATGTTTAGCGTCGTCCAGGAGACGGTACTATCCTTCCCCATTCTGTGGGGCAAACCGAATGGGATAATTTGCCGCGATTCACTGCGGGGGTCGACCTCAGTGAACCCAATTACTGAGACCCTTGCTGAGCCATTGTAGAATAGGTAGTAATGCTAACAGGGCCAGATTAACTCACCATGTAACGTAACATGGTGCCGGTCCCTCGTTGAGGCATCTGGTCGATAGCTTGGGGTGTAGAGTTACTACTGTACTCGGAATGAATAGGCCAGTGATCCATGAACGAGTCTCCTCTTGACGCATTGCTCTTAGGGTTGCTTCTTAAAATGGTATGGTTCGAATTCATTGCCGGCGGGCTACCTAAGGAGATATGTTCGATGTGGAGCGGCGTTTCTCCACCGCCGGACCTTCCATCACGTCCTGGTTCGCTGTGCCTGAGATGGAAAGTATATAAAAGAACTTAACATTGAGTTGTACCAGTGGTACCAGATGGGGTACTCCGTATGCACTTCGGAAAAGCATGAACTTGGCCAATTCTCGGCATGCCGCAACTTGTCACTTGAACTCCTTGTCCGATTTGTACTAGTACGTGCTGTCTCAAATTATGCCTCGGGAGGCGACGAAATACCAAGCGGCTAGTTCTTTTAATTCCCGAGAAAGCTCCTTGTCAAAAACGGAACTCCACTTTAACCACAGTAACAATGTTATCGTGACCCCTGTCAGCACATACTGAAGTGATAGATCACTAAAAGAATCGCCCCGGGGATGAAATCTATTGTGGCGGCTAATCGCGTATCTCTCAAACATGGATCTGGGTTGGTCGTTTGTCGGAAGGCAAAACTCACCTTCCCGGCGACGTTTCATCTCCCCTTGATTATTTGAGACCTTGTCTAAGGTTTATACATATGCATACCACTCAATGCTATAACAATGCGTGTGGTCCCTTTTAGAAATCGGATTATAGCTCTATTGGCCACATGAAAACATTGACCATGGCCACCGTCGCCAGCGGTTGCCCCTCGGCTTGATGTAAATCAACGTTTCGAGGAGGAAAATACCCCATAGTATGACCCGGCCCGCTTTTATCCAGCCGACATCGGCTGCGTTCTCAACAGTAGGTACCAAATAGTGACAAAAGTCGGCTACGGCACTAGTTCAACTATCTGGCTTGCTCAGGATATGAATCAGTTTGTCCCTCCCAACTCATTCGACTTAGCTGTTATTGATTGAATAAGGCGGCGCTGCTTCAGGGATAAATATGTTGCGATCAAGATAAACGCTAGCCGGCATCATTCCCGAGAAAATGCTGCCCAAAATGAGCTGGATATCTTAAGACATATCTCCACAACAAATCCCCATCACAAGGGCTGGCACTTTAACAGACACCTCCTTGATACATTCACTTTGGAATATTGTTCAGGACACATCTTGCGCTTATAGTTGAGCCATTGCGGGAGCCCCTTTGGATTCACAGGTATAGATATATTGGGGATGTGATACCCTCTAGTATACTGAAAGTTATTGTTCAGATGATTCTGCAAGCGCTGGATTATCTTCGCTCCGAGTGCCATATTATCGATACAGGTACGTTTCTGAACAGAGACACCCACAATAGGATGAGCTAATACTAGATATAATCAGATCTAAAGCCCGACAATATAACGGTCAAGATAGAAGACCTACCTATTCTAGATGAATCTGCCAAAGATGAACACCAAAATCCCCTACCACAGAAAGTTTGCTCCGATGGTCGCACCATATACCGGTCTTGAAACAATTATGGAATGCCCCAAAGGACTACTGGTATAATTACAATCACTAACGTTGATCTTTCCGTTTACGGTGATAGACCAAACAGTGGGCGCATCCAAGCAGAGATCTATCGTGCTCCAGAGGTCATTTTAGATGCTGGGTTTCATACAGCGCTGATGTATGGAGCCTAGGTGTTATAGTACGTTTTCATGTGTCTGATGTGTTTCCTTCAAATAGCCGACCAATATCAAATGGTCAGTTGTGGGATCTGCTTCAAGGAAAGAAGCTATTTAAGGATGTTGATCCTGTCCACGCCCAAGAATATAATGAGCCAGGCCATCTCTCGCATATCACTGCGCTTCTAGGTCCTCCCCCAAAAGACTTTTGGGCGATGGAAAAAGAACTGAACTTTTCTATACGTCTGATGGTAAGAGCACTTTTTCCTGCTTCGCGTCTTTGCATTAGTTTACCGACTCTATCGAACAGGAAGTCTCAAAGACCCAATCCTCTTTCCGACAAACTTTAACTTCCAGAGCTTGCTCAAACACATATATGGCGACGACAAGACGATGTTTATCGAATTTGTCAAAAGAATGATCAAACGGCGGCCAGAAGAACGGAGTTCAGCAAAAGAACTGCTTCAGGGCCCTTGGCTTGCGGCGGAATATGACGAGAGCTGAACCGTCTCTCAAAGAAGGTTTCTCCTATGTTCCACGCTTGTACGCTCGTCTTTGTTTCCAGTGCTATAATTGTTTTTCACCCCTTTGTGCTGAAGCAATACGCTTACTTGAAAGTCAATTCAGGCTTGGAGCAGCATGCGTTTGGAGATCGATATGGAGCCTGGAGACGCAGTGATTGGTTTTTCGGCTGTCTTGTGCAGTAAGAAAGCAGTACTAAGCATGATCTACTCTAACGGGGGAGATACTCGGACATTTTCTAAACTGCTGCGGTGACAGTCGAGCATATAGTCCCTGATGGGCCGCTGGCTCTCTGGGCAGCGAGCAAGGCGACATTCGATCATTGTTGTCGATGGAACTTGTCTACCGGGTGCCCCTATCGAGTGAAGGTTTAACACCAGATCGATATAGTCGAGAAACATCATCCTTCTTCAAAGATAATATGCCCAGATCTCTGATAGAAGAACAGGGGAACGGGGGAAACCTCCACAAGCATATTACTGGGTAACACAGCATGAATGCCGGGGTTCAGCCAGCCATTGAAGAGCTAGGCAAGGAGGCTAGTCAGTCCTGCATCCGTATCATTCTTTTAGACATACATCATTTACCATAGACACATATGCCCATCTTCATTTAGTAGCGATCTCCTCCCTAGCGAGAACATTGCAATGTGCACTCCCTTGCGTCATTCCTGAAAAACCCCAACATCTTCATTATTGGAATGGCACTGTTTGCAAAATGCGCCAATATAGACCATATTTTTCTTGTATATCTATTTTTTCAGCATTAATAAACTAGGCATAATAATATTCTTTTATTGTAATAAGTCAAGGCAGAACAGACGTGCGCGCTGGTCTTCTGGTTGAGTGAGTAAAACATTGTTGAACACGAAGGGAACGCAAGTATCCAACAAAAGTTCTGGAGCTAGTCCAAGAATGCTACATCAAAAGCCTCGCATACGTCCAGTCAGACGAGAAACTAAACAGTATGATTATGAAATATGCGAGTTTCCTGCAGTTCTGTTTGAATATTCTGGAAGATTACGCCGCGCGATCTATTTCGATACATCCTTGCAAGGATAGTAGCTTTCATATCATCTTAGCACCGTCGTGTCAGGCAAAACAGATCATTCTAATTAATACGCTTGATTCCTCCTCTACTAACTAACCAGACCAGACAGACCAACTAGTATCCGCACCGGGACAAAACTGAGCAGCATATCATATTTAAAGAGCTTATATAAACTCCAAACACAGGCGCAACGCCAGTAACAACAACTAGTAGTGTGATAACCAAGACATCATTGCGTACAAGACTCCATCAATAGTTTTGGATTGTTGGTGGAAATTTGTCACTCGGATTGACGGTGAACAAGATGAAAGGCTGGTCAAAAATTAAGATATTGAGTCTGCTTTAAAATTGTTTCGCCACCCCAATCACGTCGAACAGTTATTATACTCCTTGGCGAGTAGGCGATGAGCCATCCCAAGGCTGGGGGTTGCTGAATTGATTGGATCCTCCACTAGCAGGACCAGCAGGCGAAGCGCCATCCCATGCGTTAGAGTCTTGCCCAAATTGTTTACCACAACCACAACTAGGCGAGGCGCCATCCCATGTTCCTGATTGCCCGCGGCCGCCACCAGGGGCAGAACCATCCCAAGCGCCCGACTGCCCAAACTGTCCACGGC